TTGTATGATTTATCGCTCCTCCGTGAGGCTCAGAGTCTTTTCCGATCTCTGCTCCGGGACGCAAGCAGAGCAGTGAACGTCAACCTGAAAGGAGTTTCCTGACCATCGAGTCTGATTCAATAAGTGATAATGGACTTCAAGTGAGTGTGTTCGAAATATGCGGCGATCGATCAGCTGCATACAGCTCCGCGGTAATAATACATCGCAGAGAATCTCCCTCGGGATGATCTCCCATCCCGCCCCCAGCCATATTGCATATCAGCGCGATGAGAACGATAACGAAGAGAGGAATTTTCCGGAGCGAATTCCCAGAGATACCAGAGGAGCGCTCCGGTAGGGGTCAGGTCTGGGGATTTCTGGTTCCCCCGGACCGCGCGATTCCGCGGAGCCTCTCACTTGTGGAAACAACATCTTCTAAGAACCAGACGGAGGCAGATTCCATCCTAGTGGGTCTTTGCGACCTTGCCCCATGTCCCCGCATGCCACAAGTCAGCTAGACGACTCATCAAGAGCTTCACGTCGGCTCGCGTCGGCATCCGGTCTTAGTTTCCAGGCAAGGTTCAACTGGCCTCGACTCCGAATGAGTCAATGTTTGAATGCTTTTTGTACGCATCATGCCCACGCCACGTCGCTTCGTGCACCCTTATCGAGTTCGGGTAGCCGGATTTGCACTGAAAATCGGTCCATTGGTCGTCTGTTTTTTATTTACGTTCACTCAGATTGGATCCACTCCGAGAGCCAGGGCCTCGGGCAGGGGATCTCGACGAAGTTCCCCTGCCGATCATCCCGAACACGAGGCGTTCCTTGCTGCCGTCGTCGCCCCGTTGTGTCAGAGCTCTGCTGGCGAAAACGTGCGAGTCTTTGGGCAGCTTTCCATAGAATACAGATGAGCACTAGTAAATATCGCGACTCAAAAATAGAGCTCCGAATCCTCCGAACAATGATATTATTCCGGGCAGCCTGGGTGAGATTCATGGGACAGCCGCGATCGCACTCTCCAATGAAGCGGATTCGAAGTGCGAGGAGAAGACGGAGCTGAGCCGCTCGGCTCCCGGGAGCAACCGACACGCCCTTCGAAATTACGTGGTTTCATTCAGAGCGTTTCCCAACCATGGCGACACTCGCTCGACGGCGAGACCCTTGGCTCTGAAGCCGTCGCACGGGAACCCGACATAGATTTCCCCACGCATGGGAAAAACTGAATACTTGATCAATAATGACTGTCATCATTTTTCATTCTGAGCTCTCGATTGTGGCTCCAGCTACCTTCCGAGCAGCTCGGAGGTGCCAGTGACGAGAGAGTCGTAGGGGAAGCGCGTCTAGCGTCCTGCGGATGACGTTCAGCTTCCGCTGCGGAATGAGTCGCTGGATCATGGCGAGAGACCGACAGAGGCATTCTCTGGGGGTTCTGATTGGGTTTCTCGAGCAAAGGGGTCATTCTGAGCTCTCGGGAATGAAGAAGCGATATCAGTAAGTCTCGATCTTAGCACAGTCCCCATAAGGACCCGTAGCGGGAATGCCGCTACGGCCCGAAACCTTAGACCTTAAACCTCAGACCTCTGCCACCCCGTGAGGACAACTTGTCTGGCTGAGATCTGGTAACGGCATCGGCGTGCCCAGGTACGCTGATGAGGTACGATCTGTGCGGGATAGCTGCAGAACAGCCCCGGGGTTGTAGTCCGTGGAATACTGTCGGTTCTCCTCAAATATCGGGGACGGCACAGAGAGCCGCCGAGCGATGTCAAGAATCGATGCGATGCATCGGTCGATCCGATGTCGCGTCGGAGATAGACCTCGATTCCCAGATGCGTTCGTTTTCTCGAAACTCGTTACTCGCCGATGTGGAGCGATAAAGCTCTAATGAGAATATTCCGCTTTACCTTTCTTGAAGAGAAATCTCAGCTGTAGCTCCATCGACCTCACCCCGGGGATCTTTTGGCAATAATCGAGTCACGACTTGGTTAGTATCAGCAGTGAACGATCCGGAAAGGTCAGAAGCGCGGAAAAGCTCAAATCCATAAAGTTCGGGGCTGCTTGATCTGCTCGCAGTGGTGCCACCTGATGCACGCGAGTTTTATTGTCCCACTTTACGAGGGTGGAGTTCTCCAGCAGAGTGGTAACGTACGCTTTCGCGGACTGAATGGGGCTTTAGGGAATGGTGTCAGACGGGAGCCTACCGGTCTCCGTTCAGAGATCGCGAATGTTTCCGGGCTCTAATTTTCATATCTAGTTCGATGGTGAAATCAAATGAGAGCGAAACTCGAGCGTGAAGCTCTCCGAATATCTCGCTCGATGGAGCTCGAGCTGCCTCATCGCCGGAATCTCTCTCTTCGGACGCCACAAGGGGGTTTAGCACAGGAATGAGTTTATTTGATGTCCGTTCGCTCTCCTCAGAATTACGGCGCGGCGGGTCCCGAGACAGTGTCAGCTTATTTATCGGGGCTCCGCCCCCGTATTGTAATGTAATCGTCTGACGCACTCAATATTATATTCCTGCTTCGTCTTCCTTAGAAGACGAAGGTTTTTCTTCCGAGCGCGATTCTTTTCAGGGCGACGCAATTGGTCGATTTCCAGCATAAAAACTCACTCGATTATATAGGTCGTTGCAGACTTGTAGAGTGCTGAAGCCCTGTCCATCTAGTCCGAGCGGGCGTTCGCCCGGTCGGCGTCTTCGAAGTTCTTTTCGAGCCTCCGAGGTAGCCGTGTGAAAATGAAGAGGAAGAAAAAACCGACTGCTTCGATTTGCGAGCTCTGGGAACCGGGATCCGCTTGAGGCTGGATGAAGCCACGCAAATGATCCAGGTGTTGTGTTCGAAGTCTCCAAAGATCATTAGGCATCGCCCACAGATTAATGTCACCAATGGTCGCGACGGGGGATTCATTATTCCTCTTCGAGGATGCCCCTTACAGTCATGGCAGGCTCGAAGAGAGTGACAAGTTGACGCGGAAGGTAACAGCTTGGACTCGATGACGTCCACATCGAATGACGCGTCTGCGACCGTCACAGGGATCCTCGCTCAGCACTCAGCCAAAGATCCTCAACGATCCGAGTTTACGGAATACATACATTCGTAGGTGTTCGTCTAGAGCAGCGTTTCCCAACCGGGGGTACAAGTACCCCTGGGGGTACCAGGAACTCTCCCGAGGGGTACCGGAAGCCATCAGGATTTTTTTCGGCAGAAGATAGATAAGATGGGTAAGAGCTATCGACCGCGCCAAAGACTCCGCATGGACCAATTGCTGCATGACCGGCAACAGCAAAAATCTCACTAGCGGGTGTGATATGTTTATACGTTTAAACGGGACGAATAATTGATGGCTTGGTAGATCTTAAAATATTGTGCAGTTTCCAAAGAGATAAGTTGAGAAATGAATGTAGAGAATCGTGATGTTGTGAATCAGCTTGTTTTTCCTTTCAAGCTTTTTCGGTTTTCTAGGGGTAGGGGGTACCGGAGGGGGTACCGGAGACCTTCGACCGACCTCAGGGGGTGCTCGGGACCAAAAAGGTTGGGAAACGCTGGTCTAGAGGCTTTGATCTCGACCCAAGGGGCAAGGAGTTGATCGATTTCGTCATCGACCCGCTTCGCTCGGACTAAGATTCCGATTGTCTTCGGTTCATTCTTTTTTACAGACTCGGATCCTGTTCGAAACCACATTCGTGTTGATCACAGAGAGGTGCGCAGTCTCTGCCCCCATGTTTAGTTGGAGGCCGGAGGTTGTCAGACCTCACGAAGCCTCATAGCTCTGAGGGGGAACCTCGGAGCTGGCTGCTCCGAAGTCGGGCACGCTCTCCGCACGCGCAAGAATGCTTTTTACACTCATCCGCTCTATGGTGAAGGATTTGATGAATCAATCGAAAGTTGTTCAATTATCCCTCTCTTAATTCGAGGAGGGAATGCCTGATCATCCCAGATCGTATTCAAGCCTTCGCGGTATAAATGTAGCGGGGGCTGGCTCTCTGGAACTTTCTTCGCCTCATCTAGTGTTTCGGATATCAAATCTTCTGTCTATAGAGCTCTTCGCAGCAGGTTCAGATTTTCGGATCGGAGCTCCCGGATATCCCATGCGGGATTCGTTCATTATGGAGCACGGCAGCGAATTCCCCGATTCCCCGAGCATTGCGTCCCTTTAGTCCAACACCTTCGACAAATATTGATATTCGATCGCAGATGTTTCGTGTGCATGAATTCCTGACTAAGAACGGCTCCCGAGCTCCGTGTCATTATTCGAAGATTTTCCCGAACCTTTTCGCGACAGCACCTTTTCCCTAAGATCTCCAAGATTTACATCTCTCCGTACGATAACGAACGGAAGGAGATTCGATGGGAAAAAAATAGTGGGACATGTCGAATGATATATTTCATGGTTCACCCGTGCTCTGAGTCTTTCGAGAGCGGTGAGCGGCAGGCACAGCTCAACGTCAACGAAGATTTCCCTTCGGTATCCCGCTCCTCGTTGAGCACGAGACGTGATTGAAACGGCCGTGTTGCGTAAGCCATCAGCGGAAGTCGACGAATGATTCCTGGATCAGCGATCCAGCGTAAAATCCATCCTTGGATACCACCGAGCGAAGCGGAAGAGTAAATCTCGGAGCGCAAAATCGGCCGCTGGAGGCGGTCGCGGCGTTACGGGCGAAGCTTGAAACATTCATCCGTACGTACGTTGAATACGGGAGCATCGGGCGAGCTTGAAGCTTATCCACAATGGTGGTGGGTGGCGGCGGTGGATGGTAAAGCTCCTACCCTCCCCGCTTGCGGAGAAAGAGAGGGCAAAATGGCGGCCAGGAAACTCCTCACTTCGGCTCTGGAGCGCCTCCGCTGCAGAGACTCGAACTAGTGAACTGGATAGCAAGGCTGGCTCGGTCAGTGGCTGGCTGGCTGGTTGATTTTTCTTATTGTCTAGCTAGCTAGCTGGCTGACTGGCTCCGATACGGTGACTTTGTGCTGTTTCCGTGTCAGCGTTGTTCCGTGCGCCATGGACTTGTGGGTTCCCATCGCACAATGATTGGCCCGTACCTCCTGGCGTGGGCTTTGTGCGTGGCTCACGGCCGCCTCGGTCATGACGTTCTGCTGACAGATCCCACGGCAGAAGTGAACGCTCTCAGCGATATCGAAGCGGTGAAACGCGAGAGTTTCTGCGTCAAGAACACCGACCTTCAATGGGCTCACGTAGACATTCCGAACACTGATAGCGATCAGGTCCGCGAGAAAGCGCTTCTGGCCGCCAGACTGCTGGCGCTTCAGGTACCGACCAACTGTACATAGATATCCGTAGACGTAAATAGGTACCGCCGGAGAACCCCCCGCTGGGAAAAGTGCTCGCTGGCGGAATATGTTGAGCTGCCAACGACAACAACGAGGGCAAGTCTTTCGAGACAACGACAAATCGACGCTACCGCCAGGCGATCCTCGTTCCAGAGGAGGAGGAGGAGAAGGTTACGGCAACCGCCCGGTTTACAGGACTACTCGTGGCAGAAAAACCCAAGAGACGAGCCTGTCAAGCTTCTGGATGTTCTAAATCCGGAACTCGTTTCCTCTGCGACCTACACGTACTCGCTCCCTCTCCTCCCGTTTCAAAACGAGGCAACAGATGCCTTCGGGGGGAAGGGGGGAGGGCGCCTCTAATGACAGCGGTGCTTGGCTCCGGAGCCGGCGATCAGGATTCGAGAACGACTGAATCTGAGATCCGACCTTGGACGCGATGCTATCCTGCGGGCGCTCTGTCGATTGATGGCGCCGCGAAAAAGATCCACTCCTGTTCGAGCTGAAAATGGAGTGATGTCCTGCGATCTCGATGTAAATTGCTCATCGACTCGATTCCAGCAGATGAATAATCGAGCGGAAGCGATACATGTTCCGGTTAGTCAGCCGCCCTCGGAGTGCGAGCGCGGAGTGTGGGACAGGAGAGATTCGACTGTGAGCAATCGATGCCATTGGGGAAAATCGAGCGACGGCGAACACGAGGTGTAGAGACCTCTCACAGATGTTTCCCTCTTCCAGTCCTCCTCTTCCATGTAGCGAGAGCGTAGCGGTCGTATCCGGAAGTGAAACTTTGACGGGAGAAGCGCAAAGAAGCGACAGCTTCGAGTGAGTGGAAGAGATACCGACTTGTTCCTGCATTCTATTTGCAAGAATTCGGCTTCCCGGCTCAGAAGAGCTTCCGAATGGGAGCGCGTTGACGGTCTTTGTTGTTGTTGTTGTGTTGGGCGGACTCCCTCTTCATCGATCGGCTAGCTCTCGACAGTCATCCGAAGCGTTTGTCGCACCTTCGACTGGATATCGCTTACTCTGACAAGCCTGTCAGAGCGTGTCCCTAAATCGGGAACCGTCGCGAACGGCACTGCATCGGATCGCGGGCAGGTGTCGATGATGACGTGTCGGCGGTGCAATCCCTCGCGAATATTTACGCTTAGACAGCGGACGGGAGGGAGTTTCCCAATGGAGGGAAATGTCTGTGTCGCTCTGCGGAAATATCCGTGGAGCTCTTGATGTGGAAAATCCTTCGTAGGGGTGGGGAGCGCATAGGGTGCCGGATTCGCGAAGTTTGCCGTTCCCTCGCAATGGAACAAAGCTCTCGATCATGATTCCGGCACTTCCGAGGGGCTCGACGAGAACTTCCGCGAGCTTGCTTTCCCTCTCTGAAGACCGACCTGGTCGGAGGGAGCCTTGATGGAACTCAGAGAGGAAAACGTGAGAGGGGGAGCCCAAATCCGTTTATTCTCAACCGGTTCCCTGTTGGTCGCAAGTAAGCTTTTTTGGGTCGTCACAGTTGTCTTAATCGACTTAATCGATAATAGGTTTTTGTATCGTCCTCCGCCAGGAGCGAAAGATACCGGAGTCGATCTTCGAAAACCCGCCGACTGCGAAGGTCCACCTCACCCGTACTCCGGAAGAAGTGCAAAAAGTTTCTGGGGGCAACGAATGGACTCGAATGCCGCCGGCCGCCAACATAGACGAGCGTCGGCCTTTTTTATTGATCTTGGAGAACACAACTTGAGAAAGGGGCGCTCCTCCAACTTCATTCACTTCAACGAGGTCGAAGATCACACCCGAGCGTGGAGACAATCAAAACTACACAGCTGTGACTCGGCTCGATATTCGAAGTCACCTAGAGTCTGAGGGGAAAAGATGAGGATCGAAACCGAGCAGGGCATCCCTGGTTTCGAAGACGATTTCCCGGATCAAGGGAGAAAATCCTCCATTCCGAAGACCTCGCACACTCGAACTAGGTTAATCGAGAGACTCCCTGGTTCGTTGCCGTAAAATCTGCGGTGGAAGGAATACATTCAGATTCTAGAAGATCTCCGCGAAGACGGCGAGACAGCTTTTTCTGTTTCCTCGGATAGTCGAGCAGTCCAACTGCAGCCAAAATCCTCGAATTCAATCCGCGCATCCAGGAGTCTATCGTTCCTTTGATTTCTGTCGCGAGAGAAGTGGCGTTAAGCCCTCGAGTATTTTAACCCCGAGGCTTTTCGAATATCGAGATAGGATTCCGTCCGGAGAGCCTCGATTCTACCGAAGCGAGCATCGCAGAGTACTCCTGGGGAAAGCTCCTCCTCCTTCACGGATCGGATGTACGAACGTCATCCCGAATTCGGCGGCGTCCTCGAGGAAGAATCTCTGGAGACCGAAAAATATTTGTTGCTCCGATCGAGCTGGAAGATCCCTGGTGAATCGAATAGGTGGGACGTATGGTTCATTAAACTTCCCCACACTTTATCAGTTCTGCCTCCTGATTGGAGCGTCGCCCGCACGTCATCTGCACTATCGAGCAGAACCTCTCTCAGACATCCTGGTTGGGAATTTCATTGGAATCCGTGAAGGAACCCCGTGGCATCCGATCAGGGAGCCTTGTGAAAGGCATCCTCTTGTTGACCGAGCTCCGAGTTGCGAGAACTCGCGATTGCGCCATTCGGTCCGCACGACGTGGACGTTAGAGAAAGAAAACTTGACGAATCGAACAGTTTCGATTTGAGTTGAACAAGTGGAGCGATTTTCATGCCCTGCTCGGAAACGGGGAAAAAAGCAGAATCGGCTGAGCTGGATTCGATCGGAAAGATACTTGTCCGAGAATGGCATAATATGTTCATACAGTTCATATGGTTGGCGGAGGTTGGCGTGTATCTGTATGGGCAGCGCACATTGTGATGGAAATTGGTTTCAGATGGCTTGTTCATTCGAGTACACGGTCGCTCGTGAACGCTGAGCTGATAGCATAGAAAAAAAAGAAGCTATACGTGTGTTCCCGTACCCACAACCCAATGGCATTCGAACATTTTCGAGCTGTTTAGGACGAGAGGGGATTTTATCCAGTCGCAAGCGTAGACTTCCTCTATGTGCTGCTTTGGTCGGCTCGTTCCAATTGTATCGCTGAACCCTACTCCGGCATGTTCCGAAATCGGAACTTGCACTCGCGGGCTCCATTTGAAACACGTCTCAAATGCTCGGGAAAACTCTTCTCAGGCGACTGTGACTTTCTGCCACCGAAGAGAAAAAAAACGGAGGCCTTGCGACGAACATCGCGTTTCACTCCTCCACTGCAACCACGCAGAATCATCTGTGGACGACCTCGCTTACGCTCATCGATCCTCGTCGCGCAGACACAGCTTCGAGCCGTAAACATCAACACGATGGGCATGTGAGGGTTGAATTCAGCGGGAGAGATCGCAGTGGGATCAAGATCGCAAATCGAAGTGTTCTATCCAAGTTCTCCTCCGGGAGCAAGATATGCCGTTGCGTAGCCAGAGGCGGCTACCCTCTGCATACCTGAGTCGCAGGAGCAGGGGGGAATGACCATTCTTCCGTCGAGGTCCCTCCTGCCGACAACAGGGCATCGAGCTATGATTCCAGGGGTACTCGCCTAACCGCAGCACAGCGATGGAGGCTCGAGGCGCTGAATCCTCCCCGTCTCCGACATTGATGATTATCGGCCACGGCATCAGGCACGTTCGCTGACATGCGTAGCCTGCTTAAGTGACAGGAGAACGATTCATGCGAGGATTTTGTGCGAGACCGGGGGATTCAGCGGGGCATCATGGAGAGTCGTGTCGAAATTCTGTTCAGGCAATCTCAATATTGGGTCATTGAAACTTATCAAACGACGTCGACTGGTCTGCCGGCTTGAGCCGGGAATTCCGCATCTCGTTGAAGCCACGAGCGAGAGGAGCAATGCACGATAGAGAATTTCTCCTAGAGGAAAACGACTCCGGGACTGGAGCTGAGAGGAGTGCTCGTGAAACGTTTTCGCCTCTCGGCCACCCGGAGGATGTGTTTAATAATTCAATACAGCTTGTCCATCAATGCCTCGCCGTCCGGTAGTGCAGGCTGGCTCTGCCTTCGCTGACTGGCTGACTGACTGACTGACTGACTGAATAATTTTGATCCTGAATTCGAAAGGGAGAAGCCTTCTTGCATTCCACGAGAATCTAGTCGCTCAATTTGAATTTTCAATGAGTGAAGCGTTCGTGGCTTCTACGGCTCAATGCTCAGAGGATTAGGCTAGCAAAGCTTCGACGCGGACAAGCATCCGGGGACGGACGAAGCAGGTTGACCGCGAAAGGAACGACCGAGTGGGTTGCTCGACGAGCGTGAGCAAGGATTTCCTGGAAATTGATTGGGCTCTTTGCTCCGTGTCATCGGCTCATTTATGACTTTCCACATAAGAAGCTAGCGAAACGTGTTCATTGACGGCGAACGATGGTGCGCCGCTCGCGCTGTTGAGGAACATTCCAAATAATCGTGCTGATAACGCTTTGAAAAAGCTGCTCCTTGTACCCCTTGCTCTTATGTCTTGTAACAAGTTGCGAAATAACGTCCGCGCGTCTCTCCGCAAACATTACCTTGTTACGGACTTCGTTTTCCTCGTGAGGCGCGGAGAGCTCTACTCGGATTTATATGGCATCGTAAGCGAGTCCCGTTACCGCCGAGCCGACCTCGCAAAGGTAGAGCGTATCGGTCTACGTAACAAGTTGCAACGGCTTGTTGAATAATTAATAGACCGTTTGGCCCCTCTTCATTCCCGTTACCTCTTCATCCTTGCTTGCAGGTGGACACTGCGGACAAACGCACCCTCCGGCACTTCGTCACTGAGACACTTTCATCCGATGAGGCGGTCTTCTGTGCTAAGGTAAGCGAGGAAACCACAGCAGCAGTCAAATTGCCCAGCAGAGGGCGGAGAAAGAGAAGCAGGCGGAAGAGACCATTAGCCTACGGGGCTGGCCTATTCGCTCATGGGATTATAGCCGCGCGGTCACTCAACATTGTCAGCAGGGCTGAAGTCTTCATTTGGCTGGGGAAAACAACTCCCTCCCATAGGGTTCCAGACGAGAAGGTCTGCATTCATACGCACGGACGTGTCATCGTTTCCGAGCTGACCTTCCCGCATACGAGCGAAAGTCTCTGATTTGATCTAACCCTGAAATGAAATCGTCATTGACGGATCTAGAGGCAGAATCAGGAAATGACATACCACGAAGCTCTCGCTCATATGTTTCCCACGTCGAGTTTGTGTCAGTTCGAAGTCTTCCCTCAGACCGAGTGTCTTTCTCGGGAATCACCGTCCCGAGGGGAATAAATGCGAAATCACTGAAATGCGTAGATTAATTCCTCTAGGACCTTCAACACCTCGCTCAGACGCATCTGTCACCCGGGATGCCGACGAACGAATTTGAATCTCCCACTCTGATTTCGAGACATGCTTTTTCGTCTTCCTGTGTTATCCGCTCCCCCATCGCCTACAGACACCTGGTATAGAAGTCGGACCGGAGCGACGAAGAGGAAGTGTATCGAGAATTCTGTGTAGATCAGACTTGACGAAAAAAGAAATCCCTCCCTTAGGTGCTCGTGGCCAACCTAACACAGAGTCATCATGGAGGGGGAATATTGGCCCAGCTGGGAACGGTGGGACACACTCTGCTCGTAGACTCAGAAGCGCGCAGGAACAACGTCAAACTCTCAGATCCCGACTTCTTCATCGGATATTCTCCATGGCTCAATGTGACATCTCACTATCTGACTGAGGTAAGTTATCTGGAAGCAGTGCGATGGACTCCAGCGAGGAGCAACATCCAGAATCTCTATATCTCGTCGACGGTGTGAGAATTATTCCTCGAGCTCGCGTGCAGCTCCGTGAGACCCTCGGGAGGTAAAAAAAAAACGAGTCCGGCCGGCAGACGGGGAAGCAGCCGGCGCCGTCGAGGCGTCCCCTCTATCCGATGTCCGTCTGAGGAGGGTCAAGGTTTAAAAAGTTACCCGATGTGTTCCTGAAAAAGCTCCTCCTGACGAGTCGGAAATATCAGTTCCTGCGAGTCGTGCGGCGCTCGGTGACTCGCTGAGCACGTGCAGCGAAATTTACCAGGCTTTCTGCGAAGGCTGCTTACTATTTATTGCGCCGGGCAATCGCGCGTGATTACCATATTTGCATACGGAGACGTATCCCTTCCCCGCCGCCGCGCCGGTAGAATTCGGAAGTGGTCGTGACGGTGTCTTCACGCCCCACTTACAGTCAACATCTTCATTTTTCTCGAAGGAGTTGTTGCAACGCCACCGCCTTGACGGTCCTATTCACCCGTCGTCGGCGTCGTCTTCTTCTTCTTCTTTTTCATCCTCCGCGACGGCTGACCCATCTCCGAGCGTCATGAATCTGGTGTGGCTCTCTCTGGGCTCTTCATAGCATTTCTCGGGACGTCTTCTCTCTTGCGTACCATCCTGTCGAGTCGGAGGGCTCTTAGGGAAAACTTCGCGCTCGACTCTACTTGGCGAAACGTCCCGGATCCTGGTGGTTCACGGAGAACTTCATGGTGGGCTTTTGTGGAATGGGATTTTTCCTACCGGGCTTCGAGTCGGAAAGCGGAAACGCTACTTCGTTTCTGTCGTCCGCTTCGGTGTCCTCAGGGAAACGAAAATCACTATCTTGAAGCTGAAATTAGTATTGCAACCACTTGTCGAGCTCGGAGTTTTCGCGCAACCGATCCCAACTCAACGAGGCTGGGCAGCTCTGTGAGCCCTTGATCCACAGATCGAGCGATTCTCCTTGAAGGATTCAAGTCCCAGGCCAAAGCGGGAGGGATATGGTGCCTGGGCTTCACTGGCCTCTGGGGTTCGCGGCATCCATCGTGCATGGCTCTCACCAAGATGCTGACCCTTAGGGACCTGCCGGAAACTTCGAACGGACCGGCACAGTTGTCTAGCGGTTGCATTTGTCGTGGATCAATGCCGTAGGAGCGCTAGTCTAGCGGGACTAATGCGAGAAGGCGTTACGTTGCCGCTCATCTTGGATCGGACTCGAATTTTCGCTAATCCTCCCGATGTGGGAAGCGCGAACCTTTCCCGAGGAATTTGAGTCTCTCGATGCTCTCTGCTAATAGCTCATGCCATCTCGTGAGCAGCGGTTTCGAAGCTCTCCTCGGTGTTCCACAGATCCTTGAGCAGGCAGGGATAGGATCGATTCTGAGCGGCGACTCCTTCCAAAGGTGCCGTTTCCAACGGGTTTATTCCGCGCTTGCCGGACTCTGGGAATCCCTTGGTCTCCGAGAATTACAGAGGACCACTTGTCCCTCGCGAGGATGAGTGATTGATGCTCATGGAGCGATGTTCCCACGCTTTCTCCAGTCATTCTCCGCTCGGCTTAATTGCCCCTTGCGTCGCCATGGCTGAGGTTATCCTGCGCCGATGTGTCCCTCATTGAGGAGTATTCGAGGGTCTTCAATCCCCTCATGGGGAGACACGGGAGGATACCGCATATCCTGGACCGTGAACAGCATTCCTTATGGAAGAATTCGGGGTGCTCGCCAATGTGTGGGCCCTCCTAAAAGTCGGCGTCGACGTCATGGTCAGTGTTGTTCGATTTGTCGTCGGGGCCTTGCCCGTGGCGCTGGTGACGTACGTCCGTGCCAGATTAGACCCTGCCTGCTTGTGCCCAACAACTGCCTGTTCCTGATGATGATAACAGCGCCTACCACGGGGACGACCGGGACGAAAACGTTGATGATGGCCATCCTGTGGTCGTGGGCCGTTCGGACAGAACGGTCTAGCGTTGCCAACTTCCAAATGTTTTTCGCTTGTTTTGCTCCTCCCGGCTAACAGACGAATGTTTATTTTTGCCGCAAACGTGTTAGCGAACTTTCCGCAATGGACCACGATAGCGACGGATTTCCAAACTGAAGGGAGCAGTGAGCTAACAAGCTCGCAACTGGAATAGCCGACTTCCTTTCGCTTCATCAAGTTTCAGAGCGAGAACGTCGGTCGCGGGCGACGGATGACGACGACGTTCGGGGCTTTGGCTGAAGTCTGACTCAGTCAGTCACTCAGTCAGACTATCGGCCCGGGGGTTCTTGGCCGAAAGTTGGTTGTTGCGAAGGTTCCGCGGATTTAGTCTCCTGTTGTAATGAGGAAGGGTGAGTCGCATTCGGAATATAAGGCTTTGTGCGCTCTCCGATGCGGGGCTGGGGGAGGGGAGCTCGGGGCGGAGACAAGAGGCCGGAGAACAAGGGTCGCTCTAGCTGACAGAGAAGGTGAAGATATGCAGCTGCAATGACAGACGAGCCGACGGACGGTCGGATCCGAGAGTAGGGATTTAGGCGCAGGAACGTATTTTTATTCCTCTGGCGTCCGCCTTCGAGTTCATTCAGATGTCTGACCGCGTTTGATCTCAGCTCATTCCTGGATGATTCCGTGAAAATTGAGTAGCTGCCAGAATGAGAAAAGACCGAGATGTACGCGGAGCGGGGAGACGACCGATCGGAAAGGGAGGGGATGATGATGAATGGGGGGAGCGCCAATAATTCCCCGGCACAAGGAATAGGGAGCAGAACCGCACGGCCATGAACCCTCTCGCGCAGATGGGGAGATGCCAGAAATGGAGGGAAGCTCTTCTCTCCGCGCTGAATATATTTGAGGAGTCCAATTTAAAATTCTTCCACTTTGCACCATAAGGGCGTCCATCAATCAATTGTATCTGATTGGGGTTAGCGAAACCCCTCCCTCCGAGATGTTCCTTTCGGGTTGACGATGCCGAGGAGCCGGGACCAAGGAGCATGATTGAGGGAAAAGAAAGTAACGAGGCAGAGCCGTTCTGGAGGAAGACCCCCATGACCGAGTGTGGGCAACGGCCGAGTTCCTGACGTTTCTCGCGCGGGTCCTACGGGTCCGCGAATGCGTGCGAAACCCATTCTCGCTTGCTAACCATTTTACGCGTAATCTCTCAGAGACGCGGCCGTGCGCAGCGACAGAACTTGCAATGTCCGAGAGTGCGAAGACCCCGTATTTAGGCTCGCTCGCATTTGCGGTAGCCAATTATGTTCTGATTCCGACACATGTTCAATTAAAGCCTCCAAGTAAGGAATCCTGCCAGCTCATGCTGTTCGGGTCCACCAGCGCTGCTTCCAATGAAAACACTCGACGAGACCTATTCGGTTCCGAGAGAACGCGTATGCGGGCAAACGAGTTGGTGGGGCAAGACAAAAACCGACGTCGTTGGCCGTATTGCTATGGGCCGCGTTCGACAACTGAAAACGTGAGCTCGTATTTGTGCTTCGCCGCGTGCTTGCAGCAATAAACGGACTGCCTATCTGCACCGACCTCATTCTGGGGCGCGGCTGCAGCAGCCGAATCGCGAGCAGCGGGCCACCGCGCGTCAAACGCGAGAAGAAATGAAAAACGAGCCACCCTGCCTAAGCTCAAATAATCCGCGCTGCCGTCGCTGTCGCGGGCTGAGGAGGGAGATTGAAGCCCAGCGGCCAGAAGGAAGGGAAGCGAGAAAGGCTCAGACACTCGAGATGCACAGCTAGAGGCAGTCGAGCGATAAATGGAAGAATCGCGTAGATTGAGACTTCCAAAACTCGGGCCCTGCGCTCGAGCCGGAGTTCTCCTGGGTAGGCACTCACTCCCTCAGAGCCTAGCGAGACAGAGCCCAGTTCGGAGCTGGAATCTCGCTCCTATGCTACCGTTGCTCGCGTCAACGCCATTCTCATCCCTCACAGAAGCTGTCTTGGAGTCGATGCGAGCCCTCGGGCTCGATTCTCCAAAGTACTGCGAATTGCTCCGCTCTAACTGATCCTCGATTCGCGTCCCAAACGCGGTAGTCTTGTCGTCGAGGCATATGCGCTCTGTTCTGGGGGATCTGAATGACCTCCGATTCTGATACGACTAGATTTCCGCAGAATGAGTCTTCTCCACATTTTCGGAACTTTCCGGCTGGGCACCGATTCAATCCCAACCCTTCGATTGGAGTCATGTCTTCAAGAATCGTGGATTAGAACCGTTTCGTGCTCTCTGGGTCCTGTTCCCCGATTCCATTGGTCTCCAAGCCTAAAGTTCATGGAGCTCATGATTGATCCATCCTGTTCATTGTCATGGAGCTGACCTTTCTCCTTTAAACAATGCCCAGTTATCTCGGGTGCAGCCCACTATATGAGAGCCGCGAAAGCAACCGATCCTGAGCTCTGATACATTCCCTAGCGGCCTCTGTACCGATTCCTACGCTATTTCGTGTCGGAGCCCGGGGACAATGTTGAATCGACCCAAGCGGCAGGATGTAGCCCCGCTCTGCCCCTCCCCGAGGTCTCCCTCTCAGCTGACCTTTGACAGATCTCCCGATTCGTATCTGCGCGGCGGGAGTCTACCGAAGTTTTTCACACCTGATCCAGTCCTCTCCCTGGGGAAGTGCATTCCTACGGAAGTCCGCAAAACGCAACAGTAATATTGCACAAGAAAATGGTTTTGGAATATTCAGCCCGGAGACTCTGAGCGCGGTCTGCCTTGGCAGGTTCAGCTCAATCAGCTCAAAGTCTTCCAACGCGCGATTTCGTTTTCACACGCCGGCGGCGTAAGGGGTTTAAGCTTACCCGGCCCGAGCTATCGTCGTCGGGACAGAGGGTTTCTCTTTCTGGCGAGTCAAGTTCGTAATTCCGCTGTGGCCCGTCTCTGTGATCCAGGACAATTCTCAGATCTGCGTTTGAAGCCCATCGAGATAGCCCGGAGCGCGCGAGATTCATTGAGGCTCACAGTCAGATGTGTGCCGTAGGGGAGCACCGACAATGCCTGTCCCCGACGAGCCCGATCGAGCATAAAAAGGACGCTACGATGTTTAGACCTCGAACCTCACAGCGGAATTACCGCTCAAGGACGAACACTGTCCTTATACATCGACAGACTGCGAGCCTTTTCCGGCGAGTGCTCGCGGAAGAACGCGCGCGAGCTCGCTCCCATGTTGGGACTCCCAATGACAACGGAGCGGGATTTTGAAGAGAGGAGTCTGGAAACAGAGCTCGGGTCGACGACTCTGGCCGGAGCAGTCGAAGTTCCATTGATGGTAGCGGCCCTGCGCTAGGGCGGGGTGCATCTATAGGACAAGATTACGGCTGTCCTCGCGTGATTCGGTGACTGGAATAAATTTGCTCGGTCAACATTCCTATCACACCGTCGGAATCAGCGCTGTGTCACCAAGAATCCACTGATACGTCTCGCACCGTGAATCGTCGCCTAGTCATTGCGACCGACGGTCAACGCATCTAGTTAGCCTCTGTCCAAGCAATCTCTCCCAAATCAGCACCAGCAGCGTCGCAGGATTCGATTCGGGGGAAGGACATGAAAGAATATGGTGCCCATCCAAGGGAACGACTGGAAGCGCAAGGAGAGCTCCCCTTGATTCGGATCCTCCGAAATTGGAGTGTCTGGTCAATCGCGTCAGTCGGAGGGCTTGAGTTTCCGCTCTCCTGCGACTGGTAATGCTCGACCGGGATCTCCCTCTTGGCAGGGAATAGCAGCAAATTGTAAAATCTTAGTAGAGCTCGTCTCCGGGATCGATGTGCTCATCTCTTGCTGAGGTGCTGTTCACAGCGCCATTTGAGACAGGAGAATACCTCGGAGCGATTCGGCGGCTGTCGGGGCCGCTGCGGGAAATATGTCAACGTCATTACGTGTACTTAGATATCGGAGCTGTTTGCTCGACTGCGAAGCCCAGCTCGATCCGTCCTGTTAAAAACCCATCATCCCCGCCGGGCTCCCTGGGACTCGGAGCATGAGGGAGCAAGCTCCGCGACGCAAGCCAGAGCTTAGACACCGACAGGAAGGCTCACACATCTGCGTTTTTGAGATCCGGCTGCTTAGCCTCAATATGCTCGCTACGAGACGTTCGGTCAGCTGGACACGTTCGTCGACGAGATGTCGCTCGGGAGCTCCCGTGTCACGAGGAAGCCGGGGAGTTCTCTGCTGATGAAGCTCAAGGACAGAGTTCGGGACACACTTCCCCGAAGGCAGCCGGAGAACTCACGTCCAATGCAAGCGTTTGCGAGCCTCTGTTGATTCTAGGAGACGGTTAAGAATCTCCAGATCCGATCTGGAGCAGCGGTGGCTCTTGGGAAAACACGACTTCTCTCCCGCAGTCTCCCTTGCGAACGAATTCGCCACCGACGTCCAATTTTAGATCGAGAGTGTTGGCGAGGCTGTGTTCGCTATCTCACGAAAGGTTCGGCCAGCGTTGCACCTTGCAAGCTGATCTAAAGCGCTCTGAGAAGTCGCGGTTCATAGTCTCATTCGATCCGTGAGCATCTGATCGAACGATCCGGAGTCGTCGGAGAGCGTAATACTAATAGCTTTCGGAGCCTCCCGATAAGATTTCGCTCAAGCCCAATCCGACAGTCCACAGCGATGGCAGCCACTAATCTCACACAATGGACCCTGAGTCGTTTCAAAACCGGAGTGCTCCCGGATACAAGAACTAATGCATTCGAGCACTGTGATTAGTTTCGGCGGGCTGCTTCGTGGTCGGGAGAGCTGCTATCCGACCGGAAAAAACAGAGGAAGCTCCGAGGAGGAAGAGCAGAAATGAGAATACAATGCACGCTCGTCGAAGAACAAATAAAAAGGATATGTGTGTATTGGTCGATGGTTCTACGAGTACACAGACGGATTTTTCGCTCAGATGGATGGGGAGAATCGTACAGCGGCGCTCTCCTGGCGCACCGTAGCGGACGAACGAGTCTCCTCGGAACAGCGCTCCTTGTTCCTCTCGTGCAGCCAGTAGCCACCTAATTCCATTTCCGCCAGTCGATAGATGAACCTGAATTGACAACTCCGATTGTTACCCACGTGATTGGTTTAGCCACTGCAGCCGCGGCTGAGCTCGATGCCACCACCACTGCTGTTCGTGCAACCACTTTCGCCCTTCATTAGCCCTCCGCGACACCATGACGAGAGACGGGATCACGGAAATGACCGGCGCCGTTCAAGTTCCGCGGGATCCTCTTCCTCCCGTCCGCGATCTGTGGAAATGCCTCGATTCTGGCTCCGTATGATCCGTGATCCTGCCCGAGAATGATATGTTTTCCGGAGTCAGACACCGTCAACTTGTGATATAATCCCGATGCGTCGATTCGTTTTCGAGCTTATGTCGCGTATCCAAAAATCGTTCTGAGCTACTGATTATGAGCCTGGACCTTCCGCATCTTGGAACCTCCTAGTCCACAGGGAGAACTCCTTCTCGCTATGGAGCACTCCGACTGCTGTGGCATACAGATAATGATATCGATTGCTCTGACCAGCGAAGGTCTGTACCATACGCACCTGCTCTTCGCGTTTCAGCGAACGGAAGCGAAAATACTCGATTGACATTTACCGTGAATCTATTATTTCAGAAGCACCTGCAACGCACTCACGAGCAAAGACTGGAAGGAGGCATAATTCTCCGGGATACGTGGACTTTACCATACTATTCGTGCGAGTATCGGAAATGGATTGTTTCTCATTTATCGTTTGTGTGGACGAAAAACGATTGGCGATCATGGGGGTCGACATCGATGTCTCCGACGTGGATATCGATCAGTGCGAAAGCAGCGCGTCCGGTCTCGTTACCGCAACCTTGGTAAGTTCCGGAGGCTACCCCATGCACAGGCGATCTGAAGAAAATCCTCGGAAGGAAGACCCAGCTTCTACATTTCCTAAAAACTAGACTGCGCGTTGTAGTGACGGCCGTCGCTGACCGTCGATCACGTCGACACGGGAGGCACCCGTGAGCTTCCCACGGACGAGTTTGGCCATGGAAAGGATGGCAATGGGAAATTCTCACGACGAGCAGGAATGAAATCCCGATTTTCTCATTGACTTCGGAACCTAGCGCCGCCCGAAGGGTTCGATTGGGCCCTCACGGCTTGATCTCTGCCATGTTGGAGTAGTCGAATGACGATCTGTTCCACGCACGAGGGGCAGCTGCGACTGCTCATCGATATCCTTCCGATGACCTTCGGCGGCGGATTCGCGCGAGCTCGCGGGGAAGAGAGCTAGGGAGTGGAACAGAGAGCTCAGAATAAGCTGAGCCGTTATTTTTACGCTGTCCGCCTTCCTTGACGGTTCTCCTATCGAGATTCTCTTTCTCTTAATCAGCGGTTTGTCGAGCCGGCTCGAGAGCTCGCAAGTACAAGCGTCTTCGTGTCAGAGAGAGGTTCCTAGCAGCTGGCGTGTCCAGCCTCGTCGAAAATTACAGTCGAGCTTCGCCGCCGTGTCGGGCTCGCGATCATCGCGCTCCTCGTCAGCTTCGGTCGCCCTTATCAGCAGCCTCGACGACCGTCGAGAGGATCACTCGCTGAACGGTTATCGGTGATTGCTCGAGCAGACGAGTTTCCGCGGTGAAGGGGGCAATATCCGCGCATTGAATCAGTCGTGTGCTCCGACATCAATCCAATTAAGGCAGCGAGGGCGAGCCCCTCGTTGTTCGTCAAAAAATCGATAAACTCGACATACCGTACACTCCGTTCTCACCAACGAAAGTTTCCAGATAAGATAATGTGCTCAGCCTGCCGAGCTTTGAGGATCACTCAGAGATTACATGGTCCTCTCTCTCTCCCTATATGGGATGTTGACTCTGGCTGCAAGGCTATTGTACAATCTTTAGCTCTTGTACAAATGAAACTCAAGAGGTCCTCGGAACCCTTTGGTGTGTTTCGTGTCTCGGTCCGAGTTCACCGTCGGCTTTTCTCACCGGACCGAGGTGAACTGCGACGAGGCGTATCACGGGGCGAGGTCGCCAGCTCCGATGAATGGAATTTTCTCCTAAAAAACTTGCACGCTCTCCCATGCGAATGTTTGGGTCACCGTGACGGAATAAGGGAATAGATCTGACAGTAAATTGACGCTTAGCGGGAGATCGATGCTCGAGCCAGGATGGTTCCCTCTTTGTTCCCCCTTGAGCGGACTCGAGAAGATCGTCCCTCGGAGAACGCGAGAAAGGGACTCTCCCGAAAAATGCCGCTTTTTTCCTCTGTTTGGAGAGGTGGCCCTACGATGAATGCCTCGGTGAAATTCGCACTCCACTAGAAGGACTATAGCACAAATCGAGGCAATCTGCTAGGCTCGTTTCTACTCCCGGTTTAGTCCTCCGGAGCCGAGCGGAGAGTTTTCGCTGCTAAGTAAGACTGAGCTTCGCTACTCCCAAGTGCCCGACTCAATCGGCGAGTACGTTACGAACAGGAGCAGCAACACATTGCCAGGTGGGAAGAGTATACTCGGACGGCATTTTGGTGGCGAAGATTGCTGAAATCTTTGCAGTTGACGTGTACAATCTCCTGCGGCAACTGCCATGTTAGACCACTGACAGGTGATTACCGCTGCTCTCAGTTTCCCCGTTGCTTCCGTCCGAGGTTTCTCCCGGCCTACGAGGTTTGAGCTCGGGCTCTGCACAGACGGAAATTTTGTTAGCCTTCAATTTGTATCAAAGGCTCTCAGTTCGACGTCGAAGTGATTGCGACGAGTCGCTGTGCGAAGGGATGCTTTCCTTCCGGATGAACTTATCGCGAGTGGCCTTGACTAGAGAGGCCTATGGGGCTCTCCGTCATCGATCGTGACGGCCGACCGAGTCAGAGATGGAGGATTCGACGATCTACTTGAAATGAGATATCCTCTTGACGTTATTAATATTTTCTAGCAGCACCCAAATCGAGCATCTAGCCAACGGGGTCGTTATTGTTGTACAATCATGATTGTTTATATTGGCTTGCCTTGCCAGGTGACGTTCCATGGAACTCATAAATGCCATAACGAAAGCACCGAATGCGTTTTCACCCCGGGACGTGGATGGGTTAGAGGAGCGTATGTTTGTAAATGCCGTAAAGGATTCTACGCAAATTCAACCGACCAGCCTTTCAACGGATCTCTCGTGGAGGATGCGTACCGCTTGCAAAACCACACGTGAGTCCTGTTCTGCGAGAAAGCTCTCTATGCTGAGAGGGAAATCGATTATTTCCACACGACCCCCTCCCTCCCTGTCCAGGGAGTTTGACGAAAGCCAGGAATAAAGCGTGACCTTCTTCCAGAATGACCTACTCCTGTATACGGTGCGCCCCCGGCTGTGACATTTGCACAGACGGATCGCCGTGTTCGTCTCCTTACAACTGGGCCTTCCGAATTTCTCTGCTGGCCATATCTGTCTTGTGTATTCTCATGACTCTCGTTATCGCAATTTACGTCTACAAATATAGGTCGGTATTCGTCGAATGATGAGGATGAGCACTTGTGCTTTCCGGAGCCTCAACTCCCGACACCAGAAGCGGCTGAGACTTGACTCACGGGAAAAATCTCCTCTTGCAGACGGCTCAAAGTAATCAAATCAGCGTCGCCAGTGTTTCTCTGCATAACTCTGCTCGGTTGCGCAATCATGTACTGCGAAATGGCGGCCATCTTTCCGGTTCTCGATCGTTCATGCTGTGTTGCTACAAAATGGACCAGGCACATGGGTTTCTGTATCACGTACAGCGCCCTGCTGCTGAAGACGTGGCGCGTGTCGCTCACTTATCGAGTGAAATCTGCTCACAAACTTAAACTGACGGATCACCAGTTGCTACACTGGCTTTTTCCCATCCTGCTCGAGGTAGCAATTTACCTCGGCACGTGGACCCTTTCCTCGCCTCCAGAAGGTAAGCGTTGCATAAACAGCTGATTCATCTTCCGTGCAGGAGGAGGAGGAGATACCGAGACGTAGAATCAGGTCGTCAGTCAGGCGATGCCCCATCCAGATGAATAGTCGCTATCTTCTTGCATTTCAGCGATCTTCATCAAGGATTGGTCTGGGCTAAAATTCAAAATTTGCGAGTACAATTGGTGGGACCACACTCTCGCCCTCGGCGAAGTCATGTTCCTCTTATGGGGGATCCGGGTCTGCTATTCGGTGCGCCATGCGCAATCGCTCTTCAACGAGGCCCGGCACATCTCATTCGCTATTTACAACATCGCAGTTGTGAACACAATGATGATGCTATTCCACCTGGTCCTGCTGCCGGACGCCGGTCCGGATATAAAGTACCTGTTCGGTTTCATCCGCACCCAGTTCTCGACAAGTGTGACCGTCGGCCTGGTGTTCGGTCCCAAGTTCTATCGACTGCTCCGGGGCGAAGGCGACTCGTGGGACACGAGGTCTAGAGCCCGGGGCGTGTCGCTGAACGGGATCACGACTGGCCTGAGCACCGAAGAGACGCAAATTGATCCGTACCAAGAGAATGAGGAGCTCAAAGAAGAAGTTCAGCGCCTAGCGGCGCAAATTGAAATTATGAAAATAGCACACATGGAAGTCAACAACCGGCATCTGAAGCCATCGGCCGCCAAAGGCATCTTCGGCAACTCACCAGGACCCGCTGTCGTTAAGGCGATGTACATGAAATTAGAATCTGCAGACTCGCCCGGAAGTCGAGTCTCCCCGGCAGCCGAACTGGTGTCCGAAAGAGTTTAGTTGATTTAGACATCGAAGAAGCACTCGTCGTCGGCATGAGCGGTCGGCGCGAGTGTATCTTCCAACCCCTTTCGCTCCGTAGGGTATTGCCTCTGTCTCGATATGAAAATAGAACCAGTTGTAGTGATTCGAGTTCAGTAGACCAGTGCGGAGTCAGGCAGAGAGATCACTGGAGTTACCTGATTTTAGTCGACGTCGTCACTCACGGGAAAGCCGCTGAGATGGTCGGGATAAAGGAGACACATCGTGTTGATGTCGTAACAATTGAAGATGTATGAATGAGTGAAAGGGTGTGCGTGTTTAGGTGGTGTAAATTTCTTGGAAGTTATACATACAAGTATAAATATGAATATACATATATATATACAGAATTATATATCTGATGATGATGAGAAAAAAAAGCTATCTATATTGAAGGAGCTTTTCCTCCGTGACCAGTGGAGAGAGGAATACCTATATAGGATACATGTGAAAGCATTTATGATACACATTGTTAATGATGGTTTAATGGAGGCGGTACGATGAGGAAACCAAAGCTACGATATCTGCAGTTTGACTCGACGCGATGTAGCGAGATGAAGAAACTCAATCCCCGATCAGGCCTTCGGAACAAAAGAGCTGCGGCTCATTGATGTCAATCGGTCGGTGTAGAAGAGGCCCTCATAGGGCGTCGAATCGAGATATCGGTCGGGGGCCAGCCCACCGAAAATCCCTCCTGATGAGGTAGGATCTACGCGTGCAAAGAATAAGCCTCGCGACTCTCGCCGAAAGCGTCGTCGCTCGGCTCCACGCAGAATCGAACAAAACTTCTTCGAACCGATATCTTTGAGGAAGATCCTCCGCGTCGCAGTCTCCCTGCAGTCGAATAGCACCTGAACTCTTGTTCAATACCGAGAGAATTCCCACCTTACCAAAAAAGAACCCTCAAGCGTTCGAATCACGTACTAGCTTACATCTGTGCCAATTCAACAATCATCTCGTGCTGAACGGAACGATGAGGATCCCGAGGAAATTCTCTTGTGAGTTTTATCCATATAAATTGAAGGACATTAGGGATCAAGGGTCAAAAGGCTTCAGAATTCGGTGGAAAGCTGCGGAGCCAAAGGGATACGAAGAAGACCTGATTTATTGTGCGTACGAGGGAGCCTTGTGAATTATGCGAATCGCCAGCTAGAGAAATTTAAATACGGTTGAATAGTGATCGATTATCTGTATTATCCAAGTTCTGTCCGTTGCTCGAACTGACAGAGGAAATTATATCTCTATGTCTCGACTACTTCAGCGCAATCATAGATGAGTACGAATCTTTTTGTACCTTCTCGCAATCGGAAGAGATTGTTATACATGAGGAAGTTGAATGAGAAAAGATCGCGGATGAATGAGAAGTCGAACGCGCCAATTGTCGGGGGGCTCCGTGTCTCCCCTCATAAGAGCTCTGTTTCCCGCGACCATGTTCCCAACCCACAATCCCTCTTTGTTTGTTACACAATCACTGTTAACGCCAGTATTCAATATCTAGGATTCTAGAAAGTTGACGCACTTTCTATCATTAATTCCTGCGGACGTTGCATGCGGTGTGAGCCGATTAGGTTGGGATGTATGACACATTCGAGCGCAGTTCGTAGTGATGCTTCAAAAATTATCCGAACTGATGGCTGATAAAGAGGGGACAAAGAGGAGCTCCGGCAAGTTCCCATCCCTAGAAACTCCTCCTTCAAATCTCTTCCCATCTGGAAACGTGTCACACAGCTGCATCTTCACCTCAGATAATTTATTTTAAGGATCTCAACTGGAAACTCAAGAGCTACCTGAACCCTTGACTGATGAAAGCCAAATTGTCGGTCGATGTCCTTTCGGTCAAAGGAGGCCGTCCCCATTCTTCAGGGCACGAATGGCAGATACGATCTACGTTATAGTGAAATTGTCACCTCGACTCGGAAGCAAAGATATTGTTGACGATCTCTGTTAGATTATTTGTCGAACTCTTCTCGTCGAACTGGCAACGAATGAAATTTCGGATGAGAGCTCTGTTGTAGAGGTTGATGCACTCCCCGGAACCCAGGGATGACAATAAATAAAAAACATGTTGTACAGCGGCACAAGCGTTTTGTCTCCTTTCAGATTTCCAGCGGATTCCCCCTCTGTGTTTTTTTATTTTCACCATATTTTTCACTTCCCTCCCCTCGGAGCTTTCCTCTCCATTCTGCTGACGTTTCCAAAACACTCTGATTTCTCAACTCCCACTCCAACATGACCCGCCCGATATATACAGAGCTCGTATTCGAGGTCCTATTTACAAGAGAGAACTCTTCTTCAGAAATACAACAGCTCGTAGGCTAACATCGTATTTTCTAGCAACGAAACTACGGTGAGCGGTCCAACGCCACCAGGGACCGGTGTAATCACGGAAGCCTTCTGTATAACTTCTGCAACGAGTGAACAAGCAGAATTAGTCCCGTGCGGGATATAAGACAGAGGAAGGATCTTCATCGATCCAATCGTCATACATACCGTCGAAGTAGACGTCGCCGACGATTCCTCCCATTGGCAACCGATTGATTCCGACGTCGATAACAACTGCGTCCTTCTTCACCATGTTACCGCGTACCAAGTGAGGGACACCAGCAGCGCAGACGACGATGTCGGCCCACCGACACAGTTCCTCGAGGTTCTGAGGGGGCGTGAGCGAATGAGCCGTCGCGACCGTAGCCCCTCGATGGCCGAGCATCATCGACAGAGGTAAACCAACGACTTTCGATCGACCAATCATTAAAGCATTCGCACCTGCGGATCGAAGATGAGCCTTGAGAGATTATGGATGCGATGGATTGCAGAGTGAGGCTACAATAGGGGAGACGTTCTTCTGATATCTCCGCGACGCAGGGAAAAAGAACGATTCTCCCGCCTTGAGATGTCCGCAGTTCTCACCTTCCAACTGAGATCCAGCTTCTTCGAGCAGAGTTAGAACAGCCTGGGGTGCGCAGGGAATGAACAGGGGGTTTCCTTGGCACAGCTTACCAACGTTCTCGGGAGTGAAGCAGTCGACATCTTTGACTGGAATAACCTCGCTGCACACCTGGTTCGCGTCCAGAGCTGCCGGCAGAGGCAACTGAACGAGCACTCCATGGACCGAGGAGTCCTGCGACGGATCACAATAACGAATCAGAGACCATTACGATATTTCTTTCATTTCATATGTTCGTAGTCGATTCAATTGATTGATTGGCTTCTGACGAAGAGTGGAAGCCGCCGGGTGTCAGGAGCTCTCGGGGAAACCTCCGGAATTCGAAAACTAAGGCTACCTGATTGAGTCGGTGAATCTCTCCGATTAGCTCATGCTGCTCGATAGAATCAGGGAATCGCAGGAGTTTGAATTCGATTCCCACCCTGGCACAAGCCATCTGCTTGTTCCGGACGTAAACCTCGCTGGCGGGCTGATGGCCCACGAGAACTACGGTGAGACATGGGGCTCGGCGTACGCTCTCGACCAGGTGTCTCAAGGTCTCTTCTCTGCAGTGGGCCAATGCCCGGCCATCGAGAACTCGACAACTGCTGCCACCGCTGTTCCTGGAAAGAGAAACTCTGGATAGTCGTTTCGATCGTGAGTTGGTTGGCCCCGTCCGACGGTATCTCCGGATGGTGCAGGAGCTGCGACGCCCACAGTCAGAATGAAAAGAAGGGAGGACGTCCTCGAGCGGGAATCCGTATGAAGGAACTCGTCGTCTGATGAGGGGGTTCTTGGGAAGTCGTTACACTCATTCCCATCCCCGAACGAATTTTCCTTCGTGAGAATCGAGTGCGAGAAAATTCAAGCAAATATCTGATCGCTTTCAAACCGCTTGGCTTTTATTCGCGGATTACGTTCTCATGTATTCTTCAATGAACGAAAGCATTTCCTGCTTTTCCGGCCACACATAGGCACGTGTTCCCTTTGCGTTCGCAACGAGCAACTCTGAAGTTCGCTCGGAACTCGAACCTGCGCTAGGCATTCCGTGTCGCGGAATGTCTCTCAGCGCAAAGCGTTCTATGAAATTCGACACCGCATCGATGAATGGAAGACCCTTAGACCCAGAATCGTTGTCGGATTCCTTTCCCGCCGGAATCGGCGAACCTGCACCTTGCCAGCGGTCAGTCACTGACTGAGAGCTTTTTGTGCTCAACAGTGGATAGATCTTTGCCGGTCTTGAGCCGGTTCATATAAATGATTCCGCTCTCTTGTACTGGAGGAATATCACGGCGAGCATTGGGGGCCTTCGTTCCTCTGTGCTGTCACTCTGGTCCGAAACCGTGAAGAAATGTTCCTTCACCGAGACTTGATGCATTGCACGCCGATACGTGAGCGGCCGGCACGATTTGAGGAGTTTGGCCTTCCTTCCGTCGATTTACGCGCTCGAGCCACCTGAGACGGCAGCTAAGGCACCTGAATCTTCAGAAGAATTCTCCGACCCCAATCCCGGGACAGACTCACCTGCTGTACCATCGGCGCCTTCGACAGTTGTCCAGAATCCGGTAGACCGACCTGAGCGGTCGCATCTTCTCTGCTCTGGAACACGAAGTGCCCTCTCCCGAAGTGCGCGTTTTAGGATATCCTCTCCCTCCTAAACGACGGAACACGGAATTCATCGACTCTGCGGAGCGGGAATGCGGTCCTCCCCTCTGTTGTCCGCGTTGGAGCTCATACGTGCATCAGGTCAGCGAGTGCCAGAGAGGCGATGACTGCTCATCACACGAGCGGACGGTCGCCCCCGGCTCCAAATCTTCCGAATATCATGAACTTGGTTTTTAGGTAGACCCGTCGGTCGGCAGATTCGGGGCTTTAGGTCAAAATATAGGATCTGACCATGATGGATGATGGAGTGATGATTAGAATGATTTTTGCTGGAGGAGTGATCCGAGTCGCGATGTCAGCGCGCTATTTCCCCGGATGGTATATCTGCCGCTTCGTAGGCAATAGGCAGCGAAACATCCACCGTGGCAATTCGGGGCATGAGACCACCGATCGCTCGAAAGCCAATGTGGAAACTGTAGTAGGTCGAGATACCTGGAAAGGGTTGTCTGATAGGCTGGCTCCGATTCATCCGACACGAAAGCTTCCTCGGGGGCCTGGAGAAATCATTCTAGCCGTATTCGAACAGAGTCAAAACTCGCGAGAATAGCCAGCATGAGCGAATCGAAGAAGGATCCGAAGGCTCGGCGGCTGAGAAATCGATAGGCCTGCCCTGTGTTCTGACGGATAAGCATCTCAGGATCAAAGATACAAATTCTCCATTACCGCTGTCCGAAGAGCCGGAGATGTCAACATTCAGTCGACTTGTTTCCATAGAATGGAATGTAGCGCCCTTATTCTCAGGTCCGATGCCGGGACAGCAGGCTTGGGATCGAAGCTAAGCCTTTTCTAGATAGCTCAGAAGGCGGCAGAGGAACCTAATGACTTCCTGGGAGTTTGTTGGCCTTCTTCCATGCTAATGAACGGAGAAACAACATCAGGCTAGCTACGAAGAATCCGTAAAAATATCAATTCCTCGGAGCAACTTCCGGCGCGCTGTCACATCGTAGCGGGCTCATTCGGTGCAATGGGGAAATCAAGATGACCGCTGGGACTTCTGCCGCTACCGCATTTTGCATTTTATCGTGGGATGGATCGCGGAATCTCGATAGCAGTCAGAGTGCCTCATCAAGGCTCTATCCAAAGAGTGCCACTGTGACTGGTGCACAGAATAGGAGGATGACGATAACCTCCGCAAAAAGCGTCTGGGAAAATGGCGTGCGGCTCTCCAGATCTCGCTCGGCATGAGCTCCGCTACGACGAAGCTCGCGAACGCTTCCAGGAGCCGGGGTGACGAGCCTCGACTTAAGTCAAGATGCTGCTCACGAAGAACACACCCCCCGACAAGCCCCAGCACAATCTAATGTCGGTTCACGAAATGAGAGCAGTTCAGTGCGAATTCGCGTGTAACGTGCGAATCCTCCCAATATCTAGCTTTACCCTCGGTCACGTTGTTTAACGCAACATTTTCGACGAGAGAGTCTTCGTATTTTGTTCTCAGGCGCTGAGTGAGAGAGTGAATTCCATTCAATCTCAGCACTCGCAGAGAGGAGCGCCCGATTCCTCCGAGACTCTCTGGGAAGATCACAGGCATCATCGGCTCCCCTCTCCCATCGACAGAGAATATTTTCATTTAACTTTACCCCCGTACTTCTTGTACGGATTCCCCGTGGCATTGGCAGACGCACGACCTCACGGAATGCCAGGATTTCGGACAGACGCATTAGCGATCTTCGCATCGAATGTTGCTTGAGCGTTGAGGCAAAGAACAACCAAGACCGGGTCTGATCCGGAGAGATCAACACTGACCGCCGACCGGCTGGTTGTTCCTTGAGCTAGCGAGAACTATCGAGCTCCGGCTTCTGTGTGTGATGAGACGTTCGAAACAATTGGATAAGTCTTAAGTGCCTACCGAAATGGTTGTCGAAGTACGGCTCCGGCGTTCGGATTCTCTGAACGGTTTCGGATTCCGGATTCGCCACTGTGGAGACGGACCTCCCACAATATCGGACGTCGCCCTCAACGGACCTACGGCCGGACTGGTTTGTGTTCTTTCTTTTTCATTCTCGGCAACCCATCATTCCAAGGATTCGTCTCTTCTATAATTTCGGCTGCACTTCGGGGCTTCCCATGAGTGCGGTATAATTCAGGGCCGGATGGGCTCCGTGAACTGCAAGTAGAAGTCAGTACTGTCAGAGCGAATTTCTCTCTGGTATGTGGCTGGGGTAGGTGCTGAAAGCTTCGTTTCACACGGACTTCTCGCAACGCTTGACGCGTTTTCGGTCTGAGGGAGCCCGTTGGGACGACACTGGTGTCTGAATGCCTAAGCTTTTCCTTCGAAAACTCGGTAGGAATTGGAGATTCCTCCTCTCTCAGGAGCGCTCCCGAGAAGGCAATCGATGGTGTTATGCGGGAAATGGCGTCAAGAACTTGAATATTGAAGCGAGCATTGTCGCGCGCTCGGAATTTGATGAGGGGGTTGGTGGAGGAGGGTGGGTGACCGGCCTGAGTTTGTTTAGGATGCGCGCGCAGATTCTCTGGTGGCCATAGTTGAGATGGTTGTGAGATCCCCGCCCCAGACTTATACCATGTGAGTCTCAACGGTGCAAGTGATCCTGCCTGGTGAGTGGTAGTTTCGATTCGCCCACTCTTCATCGATGTATCCGGCCGGATTTGCCCCCGGCTCGTCGCGTGCTCGGTTGCGAACAACTTTCCACCTTGCCGCGCAGTATGCGGAACCGCCCGGTTTGCTGAACAAGTGCACTTTTTCTCGCGCACTTAATTTCAGTTGCGGAGGATTTCGTTCCCGATTCCAACACGGCGCGATCCGAGAGCTTCGGAAGCCCGCTTCGAATGTCGATGATGATTATAATTATCGGAGAAGCGGAAGCGCCTCGCAGAGTAGACCTCCGAAGCCAATCATCGAGCCAGTCGGTTGAGCGCAGTGGAGAAGAGTCGCTCTCGGTATAACGGGCTCCGCCAGCCAGACTCTGACAGAACTCGCCAGACCGATTTTTCGTAGCGATGATACCACGCTCGTTCCCATGAACGCAGGAGGTTCACGATAGATGGAACAAATATTGGATTCGAAGAGTATCGATCACGTTCCCAGGAGTTCCCCTCCTGCGTTCGAATACGAGGTGTTCAGGAATAGGGTTTGTTTTCCATCCCATGGGATAGGATCCTTGCTGGAATCGAAAAACGAGTCGGAGGCCTCCTGGTGAAGGCCGAAATTCGGTTCGGGGTTTCCGTGATGGAATTCGGAGCTTCCCAATGAGTCGGAGAAATGAATTATCCGCTCGAGAGTGTTACGGGGTCAACGATGCACCGGTAGCGTCAAGTCAAATCTGCGATGGCGCCTCCTCGCGTGCTCGCTGTGCGGTCTACTCCGCATTCTTGAAGCCAAATTATTCGTGATGAATATGTCAAACGATCTCGGCATGAAATCATAGATTGCGGAGAGCATCGCCGGACGCCAATAGAGCTTGCGGTGCCCACCAGTGCCCGAATGTGCGCGGAGAAATGACTCACGGCAAGCGCACTCCGCTTGAATGAGGTCAACCGCTATGAGCGTCCACGGGCTTCATATCAGAGAAGGGTTTACGCTGTCTGCGCGGTCCTTGTTGTTTGTTAATCGGAATCGGGACTTATAAGACCATCAAATTGGTTGAGCAGCTTCTACAGCGACTGACTCGCTGCGCGAACTAGCGAGCCTCGTAGTTGAACTTTTGCATTTCCGAGGAGTCGTCTCCGCGACTTGTGAGTGAACGGGGATCGAGAAAGCTCCCGGTGCGCTTCTTTGCTCTCGTACGAAATTCGCACCGACCGTGCGTTCGATGAGATTACCGAACGCACTTCCCGCCTGTTCCCGAGTACTCCGCTAAATTAAATTTGATTTCCGTTTCTGCCTGTTGATCAGGAGAATGTCATGGATGAACGGATGCATCGAGCGCGAGTCACTTCGGGCACGTACGCTCGCGGCCCACATGACAGCGGCGGCGCTCGGTGGTGGCAATTGCTTCAAGTTATCGGGACGAGCTTGAATGACGAGCGAATTCGACCAGGTCCCTACTTTTGCCCGCCGCCTTGCTTGGGCTAAAGGTGGCGGACCGACTGCTTCCGAAAACGCTTCTAGACACCGACGGGTTCCAAGGCGGCTCGTTGGCTATGTTTCCTCATGATTCTATTTCCAGACACTAATGATCGTTCCCCGGAGAGTCTGTGTTTTCGTATGACGGCGGCTTCTTTCTTTCCCTTCATTCAACTTCACGGAGCCCAAACAAAGATATCCCGGATTTCGACCTCTTGTCAGAGAGTTTCCGATCATTCCCGAGAGGGGGAGATTCTGGCAACGGCTCGAAGCTCTCCCTCCCGAAGAAAAACATCGGCAATGATGGATGACGGGCACACTATGCATCCGTCCTTCATGTTGTTCCACTGCATTTTGTTCCTGCCAATGACAAAACAACAGAGCTCGTCAGCGATTGTGTGAACATCTTGGGAAAAAGTCTTCGCGTCCTCACATTGGATCTCTGGTCCTCGACGATCGTGACAACGAATCTTTGTTCTCCGAGGCTTCCCCACTAATGAGGAGAATGAACCCACGCGGTCGACCTCTCAGTGGTTCCCAGACCCGGATCTCGGTCGGCTTCCAGACGGGAATCCCTCCTTAGGGCTGTCTCCACGCGATTGGAAAGAGGGCTGATTTGCATTTAGAACTAGCCGCTCTCCAGACGACGCTTAGTCCGTCCAGTGGCGGAGCAAGCGTTTTGTGTTGCAAACGTCTGGACAGCTGTGGCACCTCTGGAGGTTTCGAGAATCTGCATTCAGTCTCAGCTGAACGCCGGAGTTTGTTGCCCTCCTTCTTTCTCTGTCCACTCGATGCTTGTCTGTTTGTGAGTTTCGAGTGTGCGGCCAGTGTAGCGGAAGAAACATAGGCCTCAGTAGTCCTGATCACCCGTTCGTCTACTGCCCCCGACGATGCTTGCGACATGCGGGTGTCGGTCATCCGAGTCCTGCCGATGCCAAGCGAGCTCTACGTGTCATAGACGGAATCCGTTGTTGGCAGAGAGGTTTATTATTAGCATTAGCAGGAAATCCGATACCCCGGTACATGATCCGGTCAATTACAGAGTATCGCGATCTTCATATTCACGGAGTCTCTTGATTTGCCCCATGGACGCCGGAGCTCTCGGAAGAGCCGCATGACAGAACGCAACAGAACTCGGTCTTTTGACGTTCTCCAGAAGCGAAACGACCCGAGCTCATGCGGCTACCTGGTCTTCCAAGGGGAATTTTCCTTGTCTCGAATCGGATGGTTGATTGTTGCTAGTAGGGGAATCAGTCCCTTCTCGAGAGGGTACCTATCTTCCCGCTCTCAGTCTGACCGTTGGAATGGTTTTGGAATTGATTCCCTTTGTTCGCGCCGCTCTCGGGACCGCCATCGTTGTACGTGTTGACAATTGGGGCATGGCACGCTGATGGATCGGCAGCGTCGTCTTCGTCATGGCAGCTGCATCGGACCACGCCAAGCTTCCGCTAAAGGGGGCTCGCTCATAGGGAGGCATCCCACGTAATCCGCTCCAGGACCTAATGCCCATGATCCCTTCTTAACTATGCCCAGTATCGATTAGGGAGACCTCTTGGAACCCATCAGAGTCCGCCTCTTCCCGAGGGTTCGGATTGAAGAGAATTTGATATCCCGTGAGAGGAAATTAGATCGGGTCAGAAGGAGCTCGTCAGGAGCTCCCTGTGTTCGGGTCATTCGAGCGAATGCAACAGTTTCCGTTGCTGGATTTCGCAAGGATCCAGTTCTGAGGCTCTGAGAAGTAGACCCTTGAGTCGGCAAACACCATTGAGTCGAGTGTTATGCGTCGTCACGATTCATGATATCGAGAGGTTCTAAGATTGGAAAATCTTTCGAGAGCCTCCAATAGCTCAAATTCCAATGGCGCGACGCTTCATCGGGACCTTCGAATGTACGGTTTTTCCCTTCATTCCTTGCTCCGCGGCCCGGGTTCGTTGGGGAAATGGAGAGACAAAGGAAGGAGGGGACGTCGACTAAGTAAACTTCCGGAATTCATGCTCATGTATCATCTCGGTCCTTTCCGGTCCGGGAGGAATTGAGGTTAAGGCTCATTTCCGCTCTGTTTGCCGCACTGTCAGCCATCACGTCGCACGAATAAGGAATTTCTTCTCATTGGAGGTCCGGTCGTTCTTCGACTACTCTACAACTCTGACTGAGAATCGCGTCCGAGTATTTGAGCCCCGAACGTTTGTTGCTCCACTCCGTAGGATCGCGCTGATCGCGAGAAAAAGCGATGCGATGCCTCTACTTCGGAGTTTTTGTCATAATTCGCTCTTGACCTAGCTGTATAAGAGCGGAGCGATGCAGATGAGCGCTGAAGTCGATCATAAGGAACCTCCCTAGAGCATAAAAAAAGAGACCGGAGGGCCAGAGTATACTTGAGCGAAAGTCCCGTTGTCACTCGACGGTGATGTGCGGCTCGTGAGTCATCAGTCACCGAGAGACGGTTCCGGTGTGTTTTACGCAGGAGGAATCATCATCATTAAGATATCCTCCTTACTGGAACCCAGACTTTCGAGATAGGAAAACGGATCAGACTTCTCCCCCGAACAATGGCTCTCCGGTCTTGACTTGATACTCAGCTCGAATACTGGGCGGTTCGAATTAGTGTGTCTTGCTTCATTTGCGCAATTTCGGACTGAATGATGAACGGGACAGTCCGTTGAGCGACTCGTCTTGGCTATAATTCGAATTGGTTGTATCGGTCATTACGTCATTACCGTCGGTTGAGTTTCTCCTACTTCGGTCTGAAGAAGTTCGTTAACGATTCGAATAATCCACCCGAAAACACGTACGAACGACAGCTCATTAACAACGAAGCTGCCACGACGACGCGGTGCGGCGGTTTCCTGTTGAGCTGCGTGAGTAATAGGTACAAGCCGCCGGTCAGGCTCGCAACGACCCACTCGATTCTATCGGGTGTCGTTTTACTCGCCGGAGTCAGATGTTGCGCGGAAATGGCGAAAGCCGGGTGAGAGCGGGATCGAAACGGTTCTCTCTAAAGCCGCGGAGATGCTTCCCGATCCCCGAGGGAAATCACTCGCTGAATGCCGATGGAGAAACTATCAACAGCTCATTCGTTAATACTCGATATTTACAAGTCTCTCAATGAATAGAATATTAACGATCATCATCCCTGCTCTCCTCTATTCCAGCTTGAACCTGGCGACGAAATCGTATCCGTGGACAGCCTGGTGGCGGGGGACGTTCACATCCGCCAGCTGCTAAAACATTTGCGTCTCGCTCGTGATGAGGTCACCCTGGTCATAAAGAAGAACTACAAAAACAAGCCAAATCAGATCAGTCCTCAACGAGATCCGCTGTCTTCTTGCGAATCATACGCATCAAAACCGGAGCAAGTTCCCACAGAGAACGACAGAAATCATTCCAACAGAGTGAGTATCCTCCTCCACGACTCCATCGGTCGCACTAACACTGACGCAGGTTCTACAGAATCTTCCCCTTCACGGTAAACAGAAAATGGCGTGGAACAGCGTACGGACGCTCCTTTCCGTCCCCCTCCCCAGTTTCCCATCTAATGGTCTCATTCCCAATGTTCCCCAAGGAAATTTTCATTAACTCACCGATCGGTTTCGCGCATTCTCGCCGAGATAGACTCCGAAGAGTTTCTTATTGTCAGTCCGCTTCGGGGGAATGGTTCCAATACTTCTCGATTTCCAATACCCGTACGCCTTCCAAGCAGATTTCAAACGTCTCGAACAGTTCTGGGATCGTAAAGCTCATCCGGCTGCATCCGTCTTGAAGAACAAGCGGGTGCGGGTTATTGTGTCGGTACTGAGCATGCGGTTGATTTGAGCTCTGGTTGAATTAGCTTCCCGCAAAGCTCGGATTCCTCGACGGACCCCTGAGGAATTCAGGGATCAGTGAACCGTCTCGATGCGAAGACGATGAACTTTGATCCCGATGGATTCCCATCCTGAAGTCATGCCAGGCCTTCACCAGCCCCTCCGGTCTCTTAGATGGGAAAAGTGCAGATTCCGCACTTGTTCTCCAATATCAGGACGTTCTGCTTGCCCCGAAACGCTTTCTACCAATCGACTCCGATGATTCGGAGGAAACGGAGCAGAGCTCTTCCACTAATTTCTCCGCAATTTCCTCTCGGTGGCTCCCCGATTTGACGCTCACTTCCGTTACCGTCCGACGAGGAAGCGCAGAGTCCACCTTCAATCCGAGCCTCGGCACTTGGACTCTCTGCTTGCTTGGGATCCGAGAGAACATTAAGGAAGCGACCGTGTTCTATTTTCTGAGGCTTTTTCCCGTAGGGTTCAAAGCTACCCCCATGACTTACAAGATTGATTTTTATCGGGTCTATTGTGAAGCAGGAAGAGGCGGGGCGAAACGGAGCTCCGCGGACAGGACGTGGTTGATGAGGGAAGTTATGGTCAAGAGTCATAAGCATGACCATTAGTAGCGATCTCCAGCTTTTCGAGAGGACCTCGATTTCAATGAATAATTTGATTCACCGTCCGAGGTCTAATTGGTCAGCGTTCCATTAGCGACGATCAGACAGATTTATCGGCGGAACGTTTCTCTTCCTTTTGCGCTGATTTTCCTAGAGAGCTCCGCTCCTGGCTCCGCCTGAGGTTCCTGTCGATCCCGCGGTCTCGATCCCCAGGAGAATGGAGGTTGCTGTGATGACATGCGGCAAGCTGCTGCTTGTGATTTAAGAACTTCTCCCAAAGAGTCAGGCCTTTACGTCAAGCATGTCTCCAGCCCTATCTCATTTATAGTCTCTATCTCATTTATGTATTTCAATTTAGAGGTAAGGCAATCCTTAGGAAGAAAGATAAAATCCAGCCCTGGGGATTCGTCCTGTTGCTCTTGATACAGGACACCGCGAAACAGCATGCACTAGTCCGACCCGTCTCTCCCGCATCCACTGAACATCACCAATATCGATAAGCCGTCATTGGTGTATCGGGAAACCGCTTGTTTTCTCTCTCAAAAAGTTCCCTCCTCCCGCGAGAAAAGGCTCTATCGAGGCGATCCGGACCGGGAACAAGCGTTCGATCCTCACAGAAATAATCGCAGACACTCTCGCAGTCAGCTCAATAGGGGAAATCTGATGCGTGATGTGACTCTATCTGAAATCGTCGTAGTTTCTGATGGTGCTCTGGAAATGAGTTAGGCTTAGAGATGGCCTCGCTCAGAGGCCGACTGACGGTTCTTCGCGGCGGTCTGGTTGGCGGTTCTCTTCCAGTTGTCGGACCGGTTGTTGAACCGCGTCTCAGAACGCCGGCTCGCTTTTACTCTCATTGAGTCACTTTGACAGCCTTGATTGTCGCCGTCGCGAGCACCAATGAGCTCTGCAGGAGGTTGCACGATATGATGCAAGATTCGAGGAAAACACCGGGGTGGCCTGGCGAGAGTTTCACTGAGGGAACCGACTCAGCTAAATACACATGAGCGGCAAAGCCTGGACACCAATCAGTTCGGACCCTCGGAGTCGCGGTGACGGACGTTCGAGCCTCCGCTGTGCGAGTTCATGGCACGAGCTGCGAATCAGCCACCTCGACATCGTCTTAATTAGTGCTCCGTACACATAGTTACTCGAACGAAGATGGGCGAAGGCAACTGGAAGCTGAAGATCGGCGACGCGCTCTGCAAGTGTCAGACAGTACTCTGCATGGTGAAGCCTCCAGGTCAAGTGGGCATCCTGCTTTGTTGGATGCAGGCCTTCCTGATATTCGACGTGAGTTCCTTCCGATTTATTCGACGCTGTAGGAGGGATTCGAAGCGGGCAAATGACCCGATCGAGTGCACTTATTTCTGTGGAGATCCTCGAGAAACGGATCGCTGTCTGCTCGAAGTGAACTCCCGGTCGGAAGTGACTCGGCGGAGTCAAACTCTTGGAGTTGGAAGAAATGAAGGAGAGCTGAAAGAAAAACATTCTCGCCAGTGTGGCTCGAAGGCTTCCGGGAAGCCGATGGGGAAACATTCGCCGGGGACGGACTCCGATCGAGGGTTCAACTCCGGAGGCGAGGCTTGATTTGCGGAGAAAAATATCCGGACGATTGGGAGAGCATCCGCCGTCCGGGATCTCCCTCTACGGAGCGTCTCACATATATTCATTTACCTAGGTTCATACATATTCTCATCTTGCATATCTTTTCGAATTCGAATGCTCATGTCAAATCCCCCTATAGAATAAAGCAGTAATGTCGGTCCGTCATTGTACCAAATATCGGGATTATTTGTCTGTCAAAAGACTTCAAGTTACTTTGACTCGATGCCGAATCATTCCCGCTAGCGTAAGAAGTACTTTTCCACTCGATCAATCGCATCGTTCTCGAGTTATTCCGGAAAATTATCAAGTTTTTCTCCAGTGTTCGCTGGAAACGAAATCCTCTCCACCACTCCTCTCCACATGATGCCACGACCGTTCCGGCAAGGCGCGCGATTCGAGAGACGTCGCAGCAGCCTACTAATTTCAGCATGATCTAATTTGATAATGATAATTTCTCCCCCTATAGAATAAAGCAGTAATATCGGTCCGGCATTGAACCAAATATCGGGGTTCTCCACTCGATCATCAGAGGAGAATCGAGAGCTACGAGATCGAACGTAATGCTTTCCAAAATTTCTTCTATAATTCTTTAGCGTATCTGATAAGCGATGCCCATATATTTCACCTGTTTTCATTACTGTGCAATCATTTCTCCTGCTCCATGGGAGCGATGGGAGAGTCCGACTCTGCATCCATGTATCTTTTTGAACTCCAATCAGAGTTTTCTGTCGTGAACATCTTCGACAAAAAGAACTTTGGGACTCACGCGCGGTTTGCCTACATTCTTCGAGAGATTCAGTGACAAGTACGAGAGACCTAAGCAGTGTTTTTTTGTGATCTGTGGAGTTTCGTCACGAGGCTCAGGAGGTCTCCTCATTGAATTCGCCATGCCCAAGATAAGTCGGAGGCGTTGCTTCAATTCGCCCGCGAATCGACCCGTGAATAGAGATTCCAAACTGTAAGCACAGTTGTGAACTGCTCATGCGTCGTGCTATCATTCAGATATCAGATAGGCATACATCGGACAAAGGGAATCTCCATATCAGATATTCCTCAGAACAATAACTGCCGATTACTCACGACAAATTCGTTCAGGCCTGCGAAAGCATCGCATCATTTTCTCATGCTAATTCATGTGTTCATGCTCTTTGGTGTCGTACTCATTCATTGCGAATCGGTATCACGCTTTCCGTCGTAATCACTCGACAAACTCGCTCGGGCCTTGGATAGAATCGCATCCGGCGTGCGGGCAATTGAGCCGCGAGGGCGCGGAGCGCCCTCCCGGCTCGTCGTTTATAAATTCACTCTCGCGTGGAAATCGTTCACCATCTCGCGATCTCGATCGTAGACCTCCCTGGAGTCGCTTCAGAGTATCCGAGGGCAAACTTTCATGGGAAACGCCTTCGCTGCGCGCCGTTGGCTGGTGCTCGGAGCGTCCACACTTGAGTCTCGGTCGGTGCGATATTGGGCAGGCGCCAAAAGCATGTCCGCCTATCCGACTGAAGGACTTATGGAAACACTGCGCCAATATTTCGCGCGGCCAGGGAACACTCCCCGACCATGGCGTTCTGCGGTGAAATATGAGAAAGCATAATAGCCAAGTGCATCCTGTAGCTACAGAGCACTCGGCTTCCACACGCCGTCTGCACAATGTCCAGGAGTTCATTCCCCACAATCAACCGAGGGATTGACAGAATGAGTTCAGCGTGGTTTTTCTCTTGTCTGCCCCGCATGTTCAGAGAAGAGTATAGTTCTCGTTATGGAGAAGGAGCTCCGAGACCAGCCGAGGACAGGCCTTGAGCAGATCCTCGATTTCATTACCTGATCATCCCCGTACAGCTGGAAAATCTGAACGATGATTTAGTGGAGGTGTCCTCGGCGCTTCGGATATTCCATTCTCGGCGAGCTCTTAAGCCACGGCTGTCGGCGACAATATGGAGTCGACGTTGATAATTGAACGAATTCATTACTCGGAGCTCAAGCATGGCCCCGACGGCGCTGAGGAGGGAGAGGACAATGAAGACAGGTACTGGGGAGAGAGTTCCAGACTCGCTCCGGAGTGCTGAGTCGGCACAGATTTGAGACTTATTTGAAACCTATTTACCCCGTTAGCAGCGTCATTCGTCCCCTCGACTCCCGCGGATCGCTTCCGAGCAATCCTTCAGTCGGCTTCACTCAAAAATATCTCTTCCAGATTCCAGACCCGATGGAAGCCGAAAAGCTTGCGAATTGACACGAGCTACCTCTACCGTTCCAGGTTTCGCTTCCACGATTGACAGGCGGCCGCAACACTAAAATGATTCAGTCTGCCGGTCCGACAACAGCATCGAACGGTTTTCCCGGTGGAGGAGGAATCAGTGGCGGCCGCAGAACAGATTCGAATCAAAATAATCACATCGGCGAGTCAGGTCATCTCAGAGATGAAAACTCATCGATCAACCCTCAGCCACAGTCGCAAACACAGATGCAAGAGCAACAAGCGTCGCAAACAACTCACGTTACGAAGATGCGCAAAAGCAACAGCACCGAAAGGAAGAAACTCGCCGAGGCGTTCATCATGACGGGTAGGTGGGACGTAGTACTCCTATGCAGCCGAAGGTCACGGATCAGTCGGCCGAGTGCACAGAGCAGCCGTCGGAATCTTGGGATCCCGACGGAAGGCTCCGAGAAGACTCTCAGAGCTTGGAGCACCGCGGGACTTCCGGAGTAGCTGTCACGGAGGGAATCCCCAGGATTGAGAATTTTGGAAAATTATCCCCCAGAACCATGAGGAGGAATCCCCGCATTTTGTCGAAAATGAATGTTCCTCTCTAAGACATTAGTACACATGATTCGATCGAGGCATAGTCTCGAGGATAAGAACTATCATCTAGATCATCGATGTATCATCATTATTATTAATTCCATTAGATTCGAGTCATCGTAGACTATCGAAAAAACTGAGCGCTCGAACACGAACAATTTCGTCAGATTTTCTCGAACGACTTTCTTCGGTCGAAAGCCCCGTCGGTGATTGTGTCGTCACTTTTTACTGCGAAATAGATGCAACTAATTAATCAATTGGGAAACACAAATCCATCGTTCACTTATTGTCGGAACGACCATGTGCTTCCCAAGTGTTCGGAAACCAGCATTTTCCCACCTTGTCGACGGCGCGTCACAATTCCCTCGGACCGGGACTCGCGGACACGGGACGGGAGAGACGAGGAAAACACCGACAAGCGAGGGATCGTGTTCCGGGAACCCTCTCGGAGTTGCAGTGTCTATAGTGCGGCCTCATCAATCATTAACTAGTCGAGCAAAGACTCATGTCATCATCACTAACCCTAATCTCGATTCATTTATTGCTCTCCCCTGCTTTGCTGATCGGTGCTGCCGCTGTCGTCCCCGCTACTGTCGGTGTTGTCGGTGATGGTGGTGGTGATGGAAACACAACAGGGGATGCAATAATTATTACGAAAAGCCTCGAATCGGGGGGAGAAGAATTGAAGAGCTCTCCCGAAGACGAGGACCACTCCGAGGCCTCAAGGGTCACCTTGTCTAAGCACACGAATGCCACGACTGGTAGGTGACAGTTTATGGAACTCTCAGATTGCCTGCTCACTAAAGCTGAACCGGAGATTCGAGTGACACTTCCGCATTGCTTGCTTTCGTGTTTTCCCCCTGTCGCTTACTCGTGTTGGCCTGTCTTTCGTTCCTTGCACTGTCCGTTCGCTCGGTCGCGGCTCGCGCCGCCAACTCCCGCGGAGTCGTGGAACGAGTTTTCTTGACATCTGCATTGAGTGCCGATCTATTTATACCCGTATCCATCACTCGGGAGTTTGCATGCCACCCGAATAAGTCATCCACCTTTATCCATAAATAGGAGCCCTCGAACTAAAAATACGCGCGCGTTTCGCTCCTCAATGGGCCGGATGGGTTCCCTTCAGTTGCTCAACCAGCCAGCCAGTCGATCAATCACGACTTGACTCGTTACACTGCACTATGAGTTCATTGGGGGTCGGCCGAAAGCGGACGCGTTCGATCGTTCAGCGCTCGCGACTCGAGATCCAGGACTTGCGAACACCGAAGCGAGAACACGACAAACAAGGAATCGTTCTGCGATGTTGCCTTGTTCGGTTCGATTTCGGCGTCGCAGGTTCCGCAGCTCGGGCACGCGAAGCAGGACGGTGTCCCGCGTGTATGGTACGAGCTATTCAAGGAAATTCCTTCTAGGAGAATGCACTTCGGAATTGGTTTCTGCGTTCGGGAGCGAGGAGCTGGGTGCGGGATTTTCGGACTTTGACATGTCGACTGCTAATACGATATCTCCGAGCGACGACTTCTCCCGGGACGACGACTGGCTCGAGCCAGACCTGAGTGAAGCCCATCTGAGACATCCTGCACTCGACGGTCAAAGCAACAGTGGAAGCAGAATGCGTAGATCCACATCCAGACATTCTAACTGCAGCTCCTCTCGGATCCAGCAAACCACGAGGACAACCACAGGTAGGCTACGTGTAACCGCCCGCCAGCCCGCCCGCACTCGGTCTTCGCAGCTGGTCGAGTTCCCAACGGGGACCCCGGGCAAACAGTCCATACGGGAGGCGCTGTCTGTCCGTCCCCTATCCCGTTGTGGGTAGAGATGTCTCCTCTTGAGAAAGCGAGATCGCCTTTGCATACAGGACCCGAGTTCCCGACAATTTTTCTCTCCTTACTCGGCAACCAGGATGCGGGCGATTCTCGCGGAGATCGACTTGCGGGTTCATCACGGACCTGCGGCGGAGCTCTTTGTTGTCGAAAATATTCATCTCTTGGGATCGATTCCCACAACCCCCATTATGAATGAGCTCCCACCGTTTTTTTTACTATGCAACGAGGGGATATACTTTTTTGTTACGCGCGGCATCCAACGAACAGATCGTTCGACCATTTTAAATGAGATCAAGAATCACGGGGTTCTGACGGTAATTGATATTGATGCGAATGGATGATTGGACCGAGCGTGATCGGCGGCAAGGGATGCGATTTGTCACCGGGCGGAAGCCCATGTCATTTTGCCCGCATAGACAACAGACCTCTTTTTTCTTTCCAGTTACCAGCAGCGCGAGTTGGCAACGCCATTCGATGGACGAATCTTCCTTGAGCTTTTTCAAGGAGGAAAGTTTCACCGAGGAACGGCGTGTCGTCACGACGTCGCCATCACCGACGACGGCTCAGGACTACGTTCCCACCGTCGTAGAAGCGCCAACTCCGCCTCCGCCCCCGGTGCCCACGGTCTCACCACCGTCATCACCGGACGAGGTGGATCACCCTGCAATAAGCCCCCTCGTCCTCCCTCTGCCAACACAGACGAAGACCTCGGTGGATGTCCCATCGGCGCTGCGGCTCGCGAAGCGGCTTTACAATCTCGAAGGATTTAAGAAAGTCGACGTGTCGCATCACCTTTCGAAGAAGTGAGAACTGAGACGAAAAATCCGATTCGGTTCCGGCGATTCTTCACGGCCGCGTGCTGACGACTTCGTGTTTCAGCAACGATTTCTCGCGATGCGTGGCTGAGGAGTATCTGCGGCATTTCGACTTCGCGGGACTGAGTCTCGACGGAGCTCTGAGGCTCTTCCTGGACAAATTCTGCCTGCAAGGCGAGACGCAGGAACGGGAGCGAGTGTTAGTGCATTTCAGCAAACGCTATCTCGACTGTAACCCCGACTGTCAGTTGACATCTCAAGATGCCGTTCATACGCTCACTTGTGCTCTGATGTTACTCAACACGGATCTCCACGGATCAGGTGAGCGGAAGAAAAGAAATTTCCCGACCATCTCGTCTGACAAAGCACGCCCTCGGAGCTCAAAGTCTGATTGAATTTCCTCTCACGTTCGATTCGATTGAGGAGCAAAGCGAGGCGGGGCGTAGGGAGTCGTGCTCTGCGAAAACGCGGAGCTCGACGGAAATCCCTGCCACCGGCGGGGAGCAGTCGGAAGTTTTGAATTCGAAGACGGGACGATGAGTTGACTTTTTGAAGTGCACTTCCGTAGATGAAATGTTTCTCATCCTCGCTTTCAGCAGGCTTGACGCGACGACGCATGACAGCACAGGATTTCGCTCAAAACCTTTCGGGGCTCAATGACGGAAAGGATTTCCCTAAGGATCTCTTACGACACCTATTCCAGGCAATAAAGGAGCAGCCAATTAGATGGGCTTCGTGAGTATATTATTGACGGTCTCTTGTTCCTACTGCCGGAACGCTTCCAGCGTTCAGTTCGACTGGAGTCGTTCCTGAGCGGTGCCCGTCGCGGTGCTGAGTACGCGAAATCGAGCAGGAACTGGCGGGGCGAGGAATGAGCATATCGAAGAATTCAACGATTCGACTGATGTCACTTCGTCTCCGCAGAGATTTTGAGCCAGCACAACGCGTGGAATCTTCTGTCTCTTCGAGTGGGACCGGCGGAAACCAAGAATCCGCCAGTCTAGCCAAAGATTTCCGCAAAGGATACCTCGTAAGAAAGTGTTGCTCAGATCCGGGAGGCAGAAAGACTCCGCGTGGCAAACGGGGCTGGAAGACGCTGTACGCTAAGCTATCCGACCTTCTGTTACTGCTCCACAAGGATGAGAAGAGCGGCGAAGAGATGAAAAGGTATTGATAGTGTCCCTCTGCGAGAACGTCGGAGTTATGTTCATCGCGGCCTTTTCCCGGACTCGATCGATGAGGGGCATTCTGAAGTAAGCATTGTTGTCCCTTCGATTTCAGTCTCACAGATTCAATGCAACACACGACTCCAGTGCACCATTGTTTGGCGACGGTCGCGACCGATTACACGAAACGGCCCTGGGTGTTCCGACTGCAGACGGCCGACATGGCGGAATTCCTCTTCCAGGCGGTGTCGGATGAGGATTGCCAGCAGTGGGTGGAAACTATCAACTGCGTGGCTGCCGCCTTGTCCGCTCCGGCGCTCGCGGCTCCGACATCCAGCAGCGCCAAGTTTCAAAGGCCCACCTTGCCTATCTCGCACACTCGGCTGAAGCCTGTGAGTTTTTTCCTGGTGACGTATTTTCTAATTTCGGATCAACCCCGATGATCGTACCTTCTCCTGTCGGCCGGAGTCTCGGGAATCCGGAGTTAGAGCTGTGGTTCATTTGCAGCAAGAACAGCTCGAGTCGCACTATGCACGAGTGCTCTGCCTCGAGAGAGAACTGCATGAGTTAGCTTCCGGGAGTTCGCCGTCTCACGCCACTCCAAATTCAACATCGGAAAAGGGTAAAGGATCGAGGCACGATAAAAACGACAAGGAACGTGCGGAACGTCTCGCCGTCAAGGAAGCGTTCCTCGTTTACGAGCTCCAGCGGTACAACACGTACGCCACCGCTCTCGCGAAGGCTATTAGACAAGGTCAGTGATTACTCGATCCGGGAGGACCGCTGACCGGAACGATTCGAATACTCCCCATCTATTATCATGGATGTCTCGACTATTCTCAAGGGAGATTCTTTTTCACCTTGTTCTAGAGATTCTTCCCGAGAGGTTACCGAAAGTAATTTCCATGACAATGTGACTGGAATATTCCTTTGTTCCGATTTGCAGGTAGTTCCATCGTAGGTGGAAAAGCATCTGGTGGAGCTTCTGTAGCAGGCAATCATCAACATGTTTCCAGTGGTGCAGCGTCGAATAATGTGAGATCGTCACAACAGTCCCCGCCCACTCAAAAGTGCCACATACTTCGAGAGTAGGCGAACAAATAGGAGAGGTCTCAATCTTCTCTTCCCTCGCGGAGGTTGGGAGCTTGCCACATGTAGAGGGATCAGAGGAGGTCGGTGGATCCGGAAACCGGCGCGACCTTCTCGATCCTCAAGTACGACACAACGAATTAGGACGAACGGAATATCTGAGACTTTTAGACGAGGTCGATTGCCACAGTTGCGCGGATCCGGACCGGGACCTGCGAGATCGACCTAAGAGCTTTATACATATACATATATATAGCATAGGATAACTATCATCTCTTTTTCTTTGAATTTGTGCTCTCGGTGACAATCACTATGTAAGGAATATTCAGACGTCAACATTTCGCAATAACTCCAGAAATCGTATGAAAATAGCTTATGTACGAAACCGTTGACTTCCCTGTTTAGAAGCCGTTGCGTTCGTGTGAGCTCCTGCTCAGTATGCAGCGAATGAGTGCATAAGTTGTGAGAGGTAGAATGCTTGGCTGAGTGTATTTATCTCTTCCTGTATAATTGGACGATGTCGAGCATGTAGGGAAGCTGTCCCACTTCGCAGAATTAGAGAGAGAGAGAAAAATTCGGAGGATTCGATGCAGGGAGCGCTCCTTCACAAGGGTCGCTCTCGGATTTCGGCTCTTCCGAAAACAGATGAGATCTAGCAGGATGATGGCCAAGGTCTGTTTCAGGTTCTGTGATTCCATGGAGCACCGCGAGAGTCTTGTTGAAAGACCGTGTCACTTGAATAATTTGTTGAGAAGGCTGGGAGTCGTCGCTGTTATCCTGATGTGATCGATCGGATTTTATCCTAGGGAACTTGCGAACGGACTAGGTTATATTCGTAGAGAAGTTCCTCGACGAGGAACGAAAACTGGGGGAAAAGGTTCTATTAGGATCAGATTAGACTTGTTCTATGGAAGTCATGTCGATTTCTATCGTTTCTCGCGACTCTTGTTCGTTGTGACCTCTATTTGTTCCTCGACACGGAATCTGACAACCTCAGCAACAGAGCTGAAATCGTTTGGATGGCTGGACTACTGACATTTGTGACCGTTTCGTATTGAGAAGCCCGTGCTCGGTTTGCAGGTCGAACCTTCTGGTCGCGGCGAGTCGAAAAATTGTTCTCCTGAAAGGTGACCAGAAACTCGAAGGAAAAGGTTACCAGATTCTCCTCGGCCCACAGGCCGCTGAGAATCAAAAGCCGCGGTTTTTTTCTCCGGTCTTGTCCCGAAAGAACTCCCGCGACCGAGTGGCGGACGCGAATGCGATCAGAGGAAAGAAGGGATTCGAGACTGGAGTATTCGCCCAGATAGGAGCTCTGTGGCAATGGATGATGATCGGTTGTGTAAAATGATAGACAAAGTCTCAAAGACGAAGACTACAGAGAGATTGCAGAACCACTAATAATCGTGAGCTTCCGGGCGCTTGATTTCATCATGTCCTGAAGCAGACCCCGGAGTAGACGGCGGTGTTCGCCACGACTCGTCATGGAGTCGCTGGGGTTGATCGAGAAAGCGACGTCGATCCTTCCCATGATCGCGTTGATCACTCGAAATGCCTTCGGAGATCGCCGACGACCTCGTTAGACGCCGTGAAAAAAAACTGAAGATCCCGCCGCCGTGGTGGAGGGATTATCGTTCGAGATCCCTTGTCGTCGGAATGCCAATCGTAGGCAAATCTTTGTCAATTCTCAGGTAATTGGAATGAGATTCACTGGAAAATTATTCTGACGCGCGAAAAATCGGAACGGCGATCGGTGGATGATGAGTGTCGGCGGGAGGAAGTTCGTATGGAATGGGAGCGAGAGTGTGCTGCGGGGGGAGTCTTGAAGAGACATGAAGATATATTTTTCTACAATGCCTGTTTCCGGAGGGGAAATCGAGGCTCTAGTCACGATGATCGCGCGCGGCACCGGTCCGCCGCCAAGTTCTCTTTTGTTTTGTACATTTAAAAAGGAAAGAAGGAATCTCACCTAGCAGATACCCCGAGATCAGACATAGTGTATTCTGTTGTTGTGTAATAGAGCATGATATTTGTCAGAACAGGATATCGCTATGTGTTCGAATAAAAAATGATACATCTTAAGATTGATGCGTACAAGTATGAGATGGTGCTCTCATTATCAACAGGTGAATTCTGATTTGAGAAAATGCTGTTTCGTTTGTTGACTTCGTTCGCCGTCTCATCACCTGTCCGAAACATCATAGCGGGCCATCGTCGATGATAGAGTAGGTTCTTGAATTTCAAAGCCCATGATCATTCTAATGGAGACGACGTGGACCGAAGCGTCCGCGAGAACTCCGACCAAGAAAGCACGGCGGTCGTTTTGACGATTGTGGATCGTTTTTCGATGAGACCGCGAGACTCGAAACGGCACCGACCAGAGGTCCCTTCCTGTTAAGGTTTTTTTCTCACGCCAGGTACCGTCGCAATAATTTTCAGGAGTTGGAAGCTTCTTTCCGTGGCTGCGAACCACCTCCACAGATCCCGCGCTCAAAGCGCTGAGAGTTGTTCGTTGGCTTAAAGGCGCGATTCCGCTGGAGAAGGATTCGGAAGATGCTGTTGAGTCCCGTCGGGAAATTTCGCTTCGTAGCCCGATGGGACGGGGTGCGATTTCTTTTATCATCCGAGGCGGGATCATTCACCTCATCTCCTGAGTACGAAGGCGAAGTAGGCTTTATCCGAAAATTTATTTCCAGTGAGATGTCCGAAACATGATGTTGCACTTTCGTTCCATCCAGGGTTGTGACGGAAATCGAGAGCCATCTTTCTCATCTCTACCCGAGATATTCTATCTGCTTATTGAGATGTTGCGCAACGATATCTTTCCTCGAGAACTTTCCGTTATCAGTTTCTGGAATCCTCGCCACGAAGAACAATCCTCCGTGTAAGTGCTTGTACAGAGCACACTTGGATTCTACTTCCTCGATCAACTTTGCGCGGAGTTGTTGGAGATCCGAGACCCTCTTCGGAACCACGAACGCTACAGCAGCCTCACCGAACTTTTCGTGAGGAACGCCACCGACAACGACCTCGGATACGTCCTCATCTCTACTCAGAAGAGCTTCGAGATCCGCCGGAGCAACTTGTGAATCCATGCATTTGATCATCTGCTTTAGGCGATCCACGATCACTATACGACCCTCATCATCTCTATAAGCTAAATCTCCGGTCAATTGCCAACCATCTTTGAAGGCTTCTGCCGTGGCTTCTTCATTGTAGTAGTATCCCACGAGCCTACCGAGGTGCCTTGCAGTAGAGCTCTCCGTTCTGATTGGGACCCAGGGTTTTTCGTCTTAAGGTCCACAATCTTGACTTCAACGTTCGGAACCACAGCCAACGCTCGCATTTCGTCTTGATCCATCGAGGTCAGAATCAGTCCCGCTTCCGTCGATCCGTAGATCACTTCCATCGTTATGTGGGGATGAATTGAACGGAACTTGTCGATCAGGGCCTGGGGGATAGCGGACCCTCCTGTCGAGAATCGTCTGACGCTGGCGAGCTTGTTGGTGGGTCCGTACGCCGTTAAGCGAGCGAGCAGAACGGGCATGGTGAGAGCTGTCCGTATCTTGAATACGGAACAAATATCCAAATACTCCTCGATGTTGTCTCTAACTTTTTCCGAGGCCAAGAATATCGTCTGAGCTTCGGTCAGAACGATGAGGAAGCAGACACCGCCACTGAGGTGCGAGATTGGGTTGCACATGAAATAGCGCTCCAAGCCCTTCGACCACTGTTTCGCGTGGGCCATCATGTTATAATGGCTCAGGCGGACCGCTTTCGAGGGTCCGGTCGAACCCGAGGTCAAACACATCAAGAGAACGGATGATTTCGGATCGGCTACCCCGGGGTGCTTGAATTCAGCGGCGCGGTCCGAATCCCACTCTTCTTCTTCGAGATTGACGACCTCGACGCTTGAAGCCTCCCGCAGTTTCGCGACCGACGCGTTGTCACCGATAATGAGTTTTAATTCTGGGAAGTTCTTCAGAACTTCTTTTAGTTCATACACGGAATAGAAATGCTTCGTAGCGACAATTGTAGCCTGACAGAATACGAGTCCCAGGATGTAGCAACAGGCTTTGAAACCAGTCATCGCACACAGAACCACATTATCATGGGGCTTGACTCCCCGCCGCTGGAGCCCGGCGGCGAGGCTCTTGGCGACACGGAGCACTTCACCGTAGTTGAGCTCTTCCGCCGTTTCCGTGTTGACGAAAGCGACTTTTTCAGAGTTCTCGCCGAATGTCCTCTCGAAGTAGTCGCCGAACATGATGCTCTCAACGGGTTCTCTTCGAGTGCTACGAACGATGCCATCAGATGTAACTCGCCACGCCATCTGTGTTCAAGCGAGGCGAATCGGGCTCAGAGTGTCTAAAATATACTCGTCGAATGTGGAGCTGGAAAGACGACGCCGACGGTGGGATGAGGAGAGCGAGCATTCGGTAACCGAGTTTTATTGCACCATAATCGTGAAGCGACCGCTCGGTTCGAGTTCCATCAGTTTTGTAACAGAAAGTATAATGATCTCCAACGCGACGGCAGAATAATTCGCCGACGGCACGTAGAAAACGCAATTGTTGTCATGCTCTGACTGTGTGTATGTGTGTCCTTTACCGGTGGCCTGAAATCAGATATAGGACTCGATTCTTGAATCGGAGCTTCAAAATATTACGAGCGTAACCTCGAGATGTTTTCTCTTTGTCTTTCCGGGTTCCTTTCGTGGACCCTCATCGCCTCGTACTAGCATCTCAATCGAGATATTCGATCTGCTGATCTAAATGTAATTTCACAACATCTCTCCGAGAGAACTTCCCGCTGTCGGTTTCGGGGATAGACCGCAGAAAGAATAGGCCCCCGTGTAGATGTTTATGGAAAGCGCACTTGGACTTCACTGCCTCGATCAACTTTTCGCGCAGATGTTGGAGATCCGAGAATCTCTTCGGAACCACGAACGCTACAGCAGCCTCACCGAACTTCTCGTGAGGAACGCCACCGACAACGACCTCGGATACGTCCTCATCTCTACTCAGGAGGGCTTCGAGGTCCGCCGGAGCAACTTGCGAATCCATGCATTTGATCATTTGCTTCAGACGATCCACAATCACTACACGACCCTCGTCATCTCGAAACGCCAAATCTCCGGTCAACAACCATCCGTCTTTGAAGGTTTCCGCCGTGGCTTTCTCGTTCCTGTAGTATCCCAAGGCGACTGAAGGTGCTTTGCAGTAGAGCTCTCCGTTCTGATT